ATCTTATCTTTTTCACTTCCTAAACAGTAGTTCCACAAATAATCTCTTAAACTGTAAATCCAATTTTTCGATTTAGCTTTTTATACCCCATATCGACGTGCGTTTGAGAGCTGTTTTCATGCACGCCTGTCACATTAACTATATTCCATTGAAATTTGTGGATTATCTGAAATGCTTCCAGCAAATTCTACAGAAGTTGCCGTAGTTCTCATCACTGTGTGTTTGTATGGATCTGGCCATTTAAATGTCTAAATATGCAGTTTTAGCACGCTTAAGACCATAGGTGACGACATATTTATTTATTTGTGACATTATCACGGTAAACTAGCGGTATAATTACGTTTCCATAAATCATGCAAGTTTCTCAAAATAGAAGTTATGTGGATCAATATTTAACTTAGCGCTAGTTCGTAGTCATTTATTTTCTGAAGTGATGGTTCATAATTATTGGATAATTCTGTTTTACCGTACCATAAACTAAAGAGAGAGGAGTGTTATTTTCACAACCTAAAACTACTACCGTTTCAACGTCACTGGGTAACATTCCACACACAAAGAAACACTTTGAGTCCTCAGGAAATCTTTTGAAAATGAAATTGTAATTCAACTTAAGCGGACCATATATATGTGTTAAGTTTATTGAATGGAACCACATTAATCGAATTTAAGACCTTTAACTCATCTTTTGTTATTATACGCTGATGATGTTATGATCTTCAGAGAATTATCAGGAGACGCCGATGCATGCGCACTTCAGGCACACTTAAATATTATGACTAGCTGGTCTAAAAAGAGACTAATGCCTATCAGCACGCCAAAGTACGTCTACATGCACGTTGGGGTTACAAAAGTAAATAGGTACAACAAAGGGGAAGCACTTGCACCCATAGTTCGGTCGCACAAGGATCTTGAGGTGATAGTGGGTCGTGATCGCAAGACCACGGCCTACTGCCGGGAGGTCGCAGTTAAAGGGTTTAAAACCCTATAGACTTTAAGACGGACATTCACCAAGATAGATATTACCGTGTTCACTACAGCACAAACGACCCTAGTGAGAACTAAGCTTGAAAACTGCGTTCAGGCTGGAAGACTCTACTCAAAAGGTGAATCGGATATCCTAGGAAACGTTTAAAGGGCAGCTGCCCTTACAGTTTCAGAACTCTGGGGTTTACCATACAAAGAGAGGTTTAAAAAGCTAGAACCCTTTACTCCATCCTGCCATAGATCAGGAGGTAATCTGATGTTGATCTATATCATATTAAGAAATGATTTTGAACCTGACATATCCTCTGTTTTTCCTTCTACCAGAGAACATAGCGGACGAGTAGAAAATCCAAGAATAAACAAAATACCGGTTTTTACACTTAGTCGTTAATTCTTGGAAATTGTTACACGAGGCATTGGTGTCAGTACATTCAATTGATTCGTTCTAAAGAAGACTAGATACTCACAGAAGCTTACCAGAAAAGGACTAAAATTTTCTGTGAGCCTTCTGTCCTTACTACACAAATCTGAATCTGATCCATTAACCTCACTAGGTCCATAAGTTTGGTAAGTGTGTTCAGATTCAGTCGAATTCGTTTTGAAGTATGGGATTTAAAATTTTACGAAGAAAAAATGTCAAAATGTTTGAGTGAACTCAATATTATAGTTTCAGTGATAAAATAAGGGTCATGAGGATACAGAAGAATTCAATGTTTTAAATGGTTGTGGACGAAATTGAAGAAGCTTTCGCTCAGTGGGCTTCCGTGTCTAGTAGCAGTGGATCACCAATAACACCAGGCAAGAATCTAGGTATAATAACAATAACAGAGGGAAAAGAAATTGGAAAATCATAGTAGGATACTATCCTCAATCCTTAGGAACAGGTTAAGTTCCTTCTTAAAGAACTCTTGGGAAGTCACTTGGACTAGCTCAGCCGGCAGCGAATTCCATCATTTGACAACTCTTAAGGAGTAGAAGTTGTGTCTACAGTCCGTTCTGCTGTGTTGTGTCTCTAGTTTCTGGGTGTTCGCCCTCAGGTTTGTTTTGGAGCTAAACTTATGTAGGTTTTTAAGCGGATATACAGAAGTGTTAAGGATACTGTAAGCCATTAGGTCACATCTAAGACGCCTATACTCTAATGGGTAAAGGTTTAGTAAGTGGCGGCGCTCTTCATAAGGTTTGAATTTGAACTGATTTCGTGGCTCGGCGTTGAATACGTTCCAGAGTGTCCTTATCCTTTTGGAGCACTAGAACACCAAAACTCTTCCAAGTCGCAGTAAAAAGACAGAAGACTAACGAAAGCAATATGATTCCAAACAGTGGCAATTATAGTACAAAATTGTCAGGTATTTATAGTTTTTAGTAAGAACGAAATCATCATTACAGTCCACCAATCCGCGTACATGGGATTATTAGCATTGACCAATCAGGAGGCTACATATTGAACTCTAGAATATTTTTCTGAAAGCTGATTGGATGGAATATCTTTGGCTCCTTTGAGCCTCCTACAGCTTCCTCGAGCTCACCCGTGGTCCGTCGTCACAAGATTATATGGAAAGTTCCTCCATCAAACTGGCCAAAATGAGCTTCAATGTTAATAGTGCAAGGTTTGCCCGAAAGGCATTTTTGTCACAGTTAGCGTAAGACTTCAAATCGTAGGGTACCAGCACTTCTAAAACTTTTCAACTTGAGATACTTTTAGAAGGGCAATCGCCCAAGTTGTAGCTGTTGTCTGCATCATGTCTCAGATGGAATACTTTACAATTTGAAGTGTTAAAGGTATGTCCGTTACAATTCCCCAATCATGAAGTCGAGCCAGGTCCTCCTGAAGTCCCAGTATATCCTCTCGGTTGCGTAATAAGTCGGACGATACCTGTTGTGGAAGATCGTTTGTATAAATCAAGAAAAGAAGAGGCCCTAGTGCTGAACATCGGGGGACTCATTAGTACATTCCATAACGTGAAAATGAAGTTAACCCTGACCTTAAAATGTCGATTTCTTAGATATGAAATGAGTTAGTCAATTGGAGGTGATTTGATACCTAATCGTTTAAGTTTATTGGTGACCCTATCAAGAACTTTTGAGAAGTCAAGGTAAATGACGTCAATCTTCTCCTTGCGATCAAGGATGTGTGGAATTATGGTCTACTCTGATATCAGTACTGCCCTAATAATAAACCTAATCCTTAAATTGTAGATTTGTCATGATATTACTGCTTAATCTATAAAATCTTACGTGGAAGTCAAATCATCGTCTACACCAACCCACTGTATCGTAACAATTACCAATACATGATGGAGAACAAGCTTAGGCTAGAGATAGAACAATATGTTTAATATGAGCAGAAGGTATAAGGTAACATTCCTCAGGGACCACGCCTGCAAGGTCGATCCATGCCAACCGATCAACCCTAATTCATTCAACGCCTTGTTCCCGCCTTCTCCATTGTTAGGTCTTTCTCCGCGTTAAATATTGAATATCTATTTTCCGAGTAGTCTCGTGTTCAGCATTGAGGATTGTGTGGTTAGTGCTCAATGCCACTACAGATGGTCGTTCATCTGTCCACCGCAGTCAGCAGGTTGGTTATACGAGAATCACTTTACCTGAAACCATGCTGTTGTGGTGAAAATGAGTTTGAGGATAAAAGTGGTCGTGTATACCTTCGCGTATCAGGGACTCCATAATTTTCGAAGGCATAGAGAGAAAAGCCACCGGTCAGTAGCTTTGAAGCTTCGTTGCGTCGACCTCCTCCGAAAGTTTGTGTTGATGATGCCACAGGTATTTGGAGTTCGGCAACGCCTCAGTCAGTAACACCTACTATGGATCGTACCCACCAAGTGAAATCCAAAGACAGAAGCGGGTGGTTCGAAGACATATTTGATAGGCTATCAATATAGCTAGGATCGACTAATCTAGACTGGTTAGCGAATGCAGAGGGTGTTGAGCACGGACTTCCAACTCGTGATCTGGTGCAGATGCATGACCGGGCGCCTCCAAATGGGTGAGTCTATTAAAAATAAGGTGGTCAGCATCCGATGTCGAAGACTTACAGAGCTATTTATTTGGTGGGTTTATTTACTGCTACAGTTTGATGTGAGTCTGCTTCCAAATATCCGGCAGTTTGCCTCAGCTTAGCGAGTGGGAGAAAATCACACTACACGGTTTTGCCAGGATTGAAGCTGCTTCCATTAGTTTAGCAGAGTGAACCATTTCCGGACCAGGATAAGTGTCTTTTCTTAGGTGCTGCAGTTTCCGGTACACCAAGTCAGCGCTCAGGTTCACTTTGGGATGTCCTGTGCAGTTGCAGATGAACCTCTGATCATTATAGTTAACGTCGGTCGGTTGAAATGTCCAAGAGTATTGTTCAGTCAGAAGGTTAGCGACGTCATCGTTGTCATTGGTCGGGCCATTGGGACCTAGCAATAGGGAAACTCGAGTTTTGGCTTGTCGAAGAGAGGCTGCATAACGGAATAAGCTTTTCGGATCGTAAACAAATTTATCGATAATCTTTACCTGGTACTGAAACCTATCTTCTATTATTTTCTGCGTGCATATGTTCCTTATATGTTTGTATTTCTTGTACGCGCCGTTGTTATCAGTCCGTTTGTATTTCGCCCAACAGTGCCTTTCACGGTTTAGCAAACGAAGAGAGCGATTCTTGATGATTGTATGTTTCTTGTAGACTTCAGGGATAATTTGATGAAAAGACTGCTTTTTAGCGCATAAGATCGTGTGCAGTAACAGTTTCCGATGAGCATCCACATCAAATTGAGTGTGAATTTCCCAATTCACCTGTTGTAGATAGTCATGTGAAGCTGACATATTCAGCCGTTTGAAACATTACTCCTAAATAAACAGCGCAATGATGCCTAAAAATGGTCGAAGTTGTTTTTCAATCTAACTTTTTGTCATGAAATAAGACTACCTACTTCGAATAACGTTACTGAAATGCTCAAGGATTGGAAGTTGAATCATCATGGAGGTGGTTGTTCTATATTCGAAATTTCTGCCATAGTATGAAGAGGCATCATAGAGAGGACTCGACTTCTCGCAGCAAGAAGGCCCGTGCCCCTAGTATATCGGACGAGGAAGGTACTAACGGGTGCATCAACTCTCCAAAGAAGTACAAAAGTCCCCCACGAAAGGCTCTGTTGAGACGCCCTTCACGTGAAGACAGATCAGTTGATAAATATGACCAACAAGGTTCGAGACAAACATTCTTACTTCGACCTAATCCCGCAGCAAAGTTTGTCAGTAGCAACAACTCCAGCCGCTCATTTAACCCTCACAGGTAATTTATAAATGGTGTATCTAGTTTGCGTGAATTGTTCCGAGTACTCAATCGTGTTAGTACCTGTTGCTAACACTTTGGATTTCGGTCATCATTGTTCATATTTCATGCCATTACGTATTTATGTGGTTCACTCATTTTGCAGTCGCTATTGTATCATTTTGTTGTATTACAATCCCGATGTCACTTTCATATTCATCATGCATAGTACATAAGTTTTGTCCTCATTATGGGTTTTAATTTTTCTATGATGGAGCATTTCTTAAGCAATCATGTCTTTTACTTATGACAGTGGAGCAGATTTTCGCCTTGTAGCAGCTACAGTTATTCTTGTCGGAGTGATGGATATTAACGGTCCATACATTGAATGCATTTAAAATTGCTCAAATGACATCATGTTACTTCAATTCGTAATGGAGAGGAGCAAATTGCATTTCATATATATTAAATCGAGATACCTGGAATGATATGTTCTCATCCACATTCAGGCTTTTTAATTTTAAAAATCGAGAAGATATTTCGGGCATTTAAATTGCTAACTCGACCATGTTTGCTAAAATGCGTCCGCCTAAGTGTAGGCCACATTCGCCAAAAATGAAGTTTTTTGTCATGTAAAATCTTTTGATTAAAATGAATATCAAGTTTTCTTAATGAGATTGTTCCAGCAGAACATATGATCATGAAAACCTACATTCTTATGCTATCACTCATATGAAATGCTTGTCCTGCATTAATCTCAACTAATCTGCACAGTTGTCCGAATCGACTTAAGGCATTTGCATTATCATTTGAAATTATTCACTATCTAATAACCACCTCGTATTGCTGGTCCAGTTTAGCTAACAAGTAATTTCATAGATAGTCTCAATTTTAGTGAAGAATAAATAAAATGTATCTCAGCAAAATAATGTGCACATGGTGTCCACAAGTACTAAGATTATAACTAATTTTTAAAATGATCGACGAAAGTTCTGTAAGAAGCATTCAGAATTCAAAAGATGCACTTATAACATCTGGAGAATATTTTGATTGTCCAGTTTCAGTAAGTTCCTTTATGGTAATTTTGTAATTTGTTCAATACGCAGTTAATTCATACTCTTTGCTTGAAAACGAGTTATAAAAGCCCTAAGGTACCTAATCAAGCCAGCCTTTCACTTCTATTCATTGTCACTACTAATCTCCGTCTCATTTACCGAACTAAACGCTTAACACATCCATATTGTCCGCTGTGTGGTGTTTTTGTTAGGATTCTTGTCACAAGGTTGGAGATAATGTCTTGTCAAACCACTTCAGGGGCGGCCAAACGAAAACGTGGCATCAGTGCTTGAAGACACTAACTTCTAGTCTGAGCCATGTTGGTAGAGTCAGATTACTTGGTTAAAGTCCGCGTGACTATCGTAACCAATGGTTGGAGACCCTGGGTGACATGGCTCAGAATCGATCACATTGGCGTAGGTGTATACACTCTGTCTTCCTTCAAACTATGAGTTTAAGATCGCTTCATATCTTTCTTCCTACGAACTAACTCTTTCTTCCTGTACCATATCCTTATATGCAGTCTTTCTTTTATATATTACCACCAATGAACTAACTACTTCCATGAATCCGGTGTTAGTCTTGCTGCGTTAGTGAGATACGGCAACTTGAACCGATGCACATATGTGCTTGGTCCTACGTTGTAGCTGACTGATTTATTTTCTGATGAGTTTTAATGAATATAAGGATGACAGGTGAGCACTTAAATGGTCACTTATACATTTAAAAGAAATGTAGATGTTGTAAACTGTAGATTTTACCAAGGTAAACTACAGTTCCTATTATACAGTCGAGCTACTAATGTTATAAATTAAGTTGATAATATAATGAACTAAATACTTCATTGTAGATGCTTTAGAATTGTGATGAAACGTCTAGTTTGTCTTTTATCAATGAGTACCACGAAACATAGGAATCATGTCCATATAATCAGTAAACATAAGAAAATGGAATTCACAATATTATCACAAGCACTTCAGTAGTACAATGATTTTATGAGAACTTTTGTTTGATCTGGACGACTAGTTATGAAGGATGATAAGAAATCATATTCCTTGGAATCTCAGCAACCGGAATTTCAGTCGACAATCTGGTCATTCGTCAAAGTCTGAATAACGCTTCCAATCGATTAAAACTTCAATCACTAGTTTTACAACTGTTTTTTAAGTGATGCAGTGATTTGTGTGCTTTTTGAATGCCTTAACTTATTAACTTACTAGATTATTTCAATAAATAAAGTTCTGGAGAAGTTCCTCTTAGTGTTTAATTGTTGTTTTGTGGAAATGCATTCCTTAGTGAAACAATTTAAATTAACAACTATGACTTACTGACAATACAGAACGTCAGGATCTTCGTTCTTAGAAGGGCGTTTCTTATAAAATTATCTGAGAATTTTGTTGTACCGAAAATATGGAGACAGTTTCTCAAAAATTATGTTACAACTGTATCATTTTAAATTGCTGAACTATTCAACTGAAGGATTCACTTCGATATGACACTGTCTGAAACTCAAATAGTGCATGGAATGTAGATTTTGATCATTGTTTTAAAGTCAGTACTATCGGGGATTTCAAAAGCCAAACTGTTTACAAAATTGTCGGAGATAGGTAAAGTTAAAGTAAGTCAGTTTCCTAAACTCATGACCGTTTAGTTCTGCAAGATGAGATACTGTCCATTAATTTTTTTATTCTTTTCAGTTCAACATAACTTATGAATGGCCTTATTTATCTTCACAATGGCACTCAACTTTTGCAGTTCTAACTATAACTTGCTTAGTTCTTTATAAGAGTTAGTTTTTGATGTGTAATATTATTTTATAGATGTATATCTTGCGACTGTAATCACCGTAAACCTTTCAGTTCAACTCGATGTAGCGTTTTATCAGTAGAGTGAAACTACTTAGTAGAGACCTTGTTTTTGGACAGGGATGTTTATAAACCTGACGAACTTCATACTTTGTTCATCAAATTTTTTCAGTGAAGGACATTTTATACGGGTCACATACTAAATTATTTTAAACTAAATGTTAAACCACCGAGTTATATTGACAAGTCTTGTCAACCAATTGATTTCACATTTAGACTAATATATTTGCTTGATTTCTTTTTTCATGCTATTTCAGTGACTACTCAAGTTCACGGAAATCCTATGCGCCATCAAGTGATCGACTATCTAGTCATTCGTCAAAGTCACTGGTCAATTCTTCCAGTCGAGTTAATCCTATGTTGGCAGCAAGTCTTGCGTCATCAGGAAAATTACCAAACCTTCCAATTCCTCTTGGGTCCAAACGGGGTTCATCTGCAACGGTTGCGGCCGTAGCCGCAGCTGCAATGAACGCAGCCGCAATGGCTGCAGCATTAGGTGCCGGAGGTGTAATATCGAGCAAACAAATGTCACACATAACCAAAGCACTGGCATCTGCTACTCGGACTGGTCGTGATCACCGTGGTTCATCGTCACACAGACCTCCGCGGAGTTCCAGTGATAGGTATACAGGTGAAGATTCACGAAGCAGTCGTCGAAAAACAACTAGTAAGGAGAAAGATATGCTTAGCATTTTCAATGCTCGTTACGCTCGTCCAGTAGAACATCGCAATCCCGAAGATGATCCTAATGCAACAAGAACATTATTTCTGGGTAATTTGCCACCAGATGTCGAGGAACCTGAACTGAGGAAGCTTTTTGAACGTTATGGTATAATTGAAGATATTGATATTAAGCGCCGTGAACTAGAAACTGGAGCAACCGCATTCGCTTTTGTTCGATATCTTAGTCTAGACATGGCACACCGCGCAAAAGTTAATTTATCTGGACAAATGATAGGTGAATACAGATTCAAAATTGGTTATGGAAAAGTTATTCCCACACGATGCCTATGGGTTGGTGGGTTGGGTCCGTGGACAAATTATCCTGAGTTCGCAACCCTTGTTAATAGTATCAGCGCGCCTGAAAAGATCATCTGGCCGTCTGGTAAAAACTATGCCCATATTCTTTATAGTGATAGCGAGTCGGCTGCTGTTGCAGCTGATCTTTTACGTGGATATCCGTTAGGAAAAAGTCATAAACGGATCCGAGTGGACTTCACTGATGAGTCACATATGTTCAGAGATCCTAATTGGAAACGGTTGAAAAGAAATTCGTCCACAGAATCAAGTCCCAGACATTACTCATCCAGAAGATCACTGACACCTCGAATAAAACGTGAAGATTCTTTTTCAGACAATACCTACTCTCGTGATAATCATTACTCAAAATACAAACGCGACCGAAAGATGTATGTTGATAGTGACCGAAGTCATTCTGCTTCGTCAAATCATAGGCGAGAATCTGGCCATAGATCTAGAAAAGCTACACATGAAAGGGCGCCTAAACGTAGTCTAAGAGACCACTCATTAAGTCCTGATGCTGACTCGACGCGTTTTGTTTCACGTTCTCCTTCATCATCAAAATCTCGCAGATATTCATCTTCTTCCTCGAGATCACCCACAGTAGAAACATCCACAAACGTAGAACAGTTGGCATCTTGTCTTCCTTCGGCATGGGATGGAGCATTTTATCTAAAGTCGAGTAGTTTTCAGTGCAGAATGCACATTTTGAGGGGTGACAAAAGCCTTGTTGATCAGTTCATGTACCAGGGATCTAATTCAGAAGCATCTGCGCATTCAAACGAAACTCGGCATACAGGTAAAAAGTCGAACAAAGATAAACATACGTCACTGGATGACATTGATTCTAGTGAATCTCAGGATGATGCACATGGTAGCGCTAAAAGTAGCTGTACAAACAAAGACCAGGTGGTTTGTTTACGCATTACTCAACGAATGAGACTGGATCCAGTAAAGTTAGATGACGTGAATCAGCGCATTCAGACAGCCGGCTCCTCTGGGTTTTGCATTCTTTTGGCTGTACCTCCACATTCGGTTTTATGCAGTGAAGTTGGAGATGGCGATAAGCAACCGCAAAGACCGCTTCGAAACCTAATCGGATATTTACGTGCAAAAGACTCCGCAGGAGTGGTTCTTCTAAATCCTGGTGGCCAAAACTCAAACGATTCTTCATCCCCTCTAACTGCAGAAACTACATCTGGGGTGCTGTATGCATTTCCACCCTGTGATTTTGCTTTGAATCTCTTGCGTGAAAGTGCTCCGCAACTAGAGAAAGATTATGGTAAAGATGATTACTTAGCTATAATACTAATTCGTGGGGCCGGAGTTGTGTAGACACTACCCCCAAAATCAAGCTTCGAAATGAACTGCTTTTGTTGGCAACAATGTTTGTCGCTAATGCGCCGCTACTTTTTTTCTGTGCGAAAAAACTAAGTTTTGTTTACTAGCGTTAAGCTTCATTATATTATACCTCCTAAAAGGGCATTTATAAAAAAGACGTTTGTTTCTGTACTTGATGTATTTTAGAAGAATCAGTGGGGTTAATATACATAATATTCTTTAAACTTTGCTTTTTATTGTTCATTAAACGTGCTACTGAAGTTCGGCCGCTTAGTTGATAGTTTGAGAATTATGAGTTGGGAGTTTGTTACCGCTTAGGAAGACAAGAAATTTTGTACATTAGATCTGTTTGATCTCTTCAGGACAAAACAATGCGTAGAATGCTCCCTTAGATTGTATTAGCTGATCAAATGAACCAGACTCGACAATCCTACCTCTGGATATGAACAAGATTTGGTCGACTTGTGTCGTTGAGAGTAGTCTGTGGGTAACTAGTAGATATGTGTAGTCCTGTGATAGTCCTGTTAATAAATTTTGAATATACCGTTCGTTTTCTGGGTCCATTGCAGAAGTAATTTCATCTAGAAGTAGCAATTTCGGTTTACGCACGAGAGCGCGCGCTATTGCAATTCTTTGTCTTTGACCCGTAGAAATATGTGTACCTCGCGGACCAGCTAATGTGTTGTAACCCTGAAGAGGAAATTAAACAGTATATTCGATTAACTGGTGTGTTACAGGATTACAGTTATTCGTCTGTTCTAATACTGAGCCAAATATAGTAAGGGTTTCTTCACTTTTGAATTCCTGACATCGGGCATCAGAATTTCGGGTCTAATATATCCATTTTATATCGACTTAAGGGTACTTCACTTTTAGGACCATACGTTGGAATGCGATCAGTCAGTCATCAACAACGTAGAACTTCGAACCTACGTGCGTCAGTTCGAGTTGCTATACCACAGTAGCACAGATGCAGTTATCGATTCAAATCCCGTAGTGGTAGAGGTAGTAAGAGCATAGGCAGTAATCGCAAAGATTAGGGTTTGAAGATGTTAAGTCACAGAATAATCCAGTGGGATAAATTTGGAAAGAGAAAAAAGGACACCAAGAATCCAGAAGATTAAAATTTGGGAGAGCATAAAGAGTGTATGCACCTGCGCCATTGCAAACGATTTTGATCCATATAATTCATGGTCTTCAACCATCGCTTGCTATCATCTCGCGGTCCCCAACCAGGTAGTCTACACCTACCAATATAACTCAGCCCACTTGTCAGTGACTTCATGGACTTGTGCCATGTTTTGGCGTGATCGCCCCTAGCTTTCTTCCAGCCTACTACACCATGAAACATCGCACATCGAGGCAGTCGGTAGTTGGGCATACGTAACACGTGTCCCAGCCATCTCAACTGATGAAGTTTCACCACTTCATCAATCGATTTGCCATCCTTACCTAGTACTCGTTTCCTAACAACTACATTATTTACTCGGTGGTCCCAGGATATGCGAGCAATGCTTCGAAGGCACTTCTGATCGAATACTAGTAACCTACGAATATCCTCTACTCTTACCGGCCATGTTTCACTGCCATAAAATAGGACAGAATGCAATACAAGGCTGAAGTCGAAAGTCAGCTTTACAATCGACCAGTAAACTATTGGGAGCAGTAATTGGTTTTGTAAGGTATCGAAGATTCAATCGATATGTGGTGTTTTGCGACAATGTTATTGCTGGGACGATTAAACCTTTTGAATTATACCAGATAATAAGATAAAAGTAGATCACACACGACAAAATCAATTCACACCTTGGGTAGAATCGATAGTAACTTACTTGTGGTAGGGTCATAATAAATTCATGAATATTTGCACGTCGTGCAGCATCGGTTATCTCATCCATCGTTACAGGATGTGCGTTGTTCCCATACGCGATGTTTTCCATAAGTGTAAGATTAAAAAGTTGTGGTTCTTGATTTACAACACAAACCTGCTCGCGAATCCACCTAGGTGAAATCATTCTTATATTAATATCGTTGAGAAATATCCCACTATTTGTGTTACTACTATCGGCTTCGTAAAGGCGATGAATCAAACATAATATGCTAGTTTTACCAGATCCAGAAAGCCCCACAATAGCGGTATTCTGACGAGGTTGGAATGTCCATGAAAAGTCCTAGTGGGACAAAAAGTTACACAGTTTTATGTTAGAACACCGGTTTCTTTATATCAATAAAATGTGTCTTAAGTTCTGTTTTTTTTCTCGTCGCAGATCCATCTATTTTGAGAAGTCATATCACCACTTTCACCCGATCCAATTTAACGACGAGGTATTGTGTATCAAATGTTTGGAGGAAATATGATCAGGACACACTAGTTCTTATTGAATAAGGTAGATTTCTCTATGAAGACAGGATTGTAATAATTCGAAAAGAACAGCCTGAAGAAACGCTTTTCTAACATGGTAGAGGATGACTGGTCAAGATCTTAGTGAAAAGAGTCGTCAAAAAGGTCTCTTTTTAATGACTAACTACGTTAAATAGGCTCGTGAAATGCAAAATCATCGCGCAAGCTCTTAGTGACTTTCAATTAGTCACGAGGAAAAAGTAACTTTTCCGGACTGCTATGTCGAACACGAAATAGTACACAACTAGTTAATGTTTTTGGGTCAGAAAGGAACAGGAAAACGAAGTTGTGGCTCTGTAACGGTAAAGAGCCTTATTGCCGGAAATATTAACCAGAGTAGACAGGTAGTTTTTTTTGAAATTTTACAAAGGTGTTGTGGATTAGTCGCCCAAGTGGGTAGTGGGGCTCGTCTTATATTTTTGCCTCTAAGGTTCTGAGAGAATCTGTCAACGGGAGAATATAAAGCTTCTAAATTGTTGTACCTAGCCTGGTGACCAACAGTGCGAAGCGTAACCACAAAATAACGTAGAATATTAAGACAATAATAAACATAAACAACTTAGAGTTGACTGACATGAGTTGGTTAGCGAGAAAATGGGTGCGAGCAGCAGTAATGCAGCAAAACATCAAGATAACATACGTTTAAACTGAATATCTTCAATTAGTTCAACCTAATACAAACGAATATCGATAGACTTTTGAGGATTATTTCACAGTGAATGCTGTGTCCAAGTCCAGTCCGCTAGAGATTTGGGCCTCCAGTAAGCTCGATGCTAATTGTTGCAATGGACAAAAGTATTTCATAGATTATCCTGTCCAAATGATTATTCTCTGAGATAATACCTCTTGTTTCTTTTTTGATGTGTCAGACCTCATACTTGAGTAAGCAGTAGTAATATCCGTTTGATATCTTTAGTGTAACTACATAACATCCAATGGGTAGATACGGTATCGGCCGTATATTACAGCTGAGGATTCCTTAATCCCCTTAAGAGATTTTAAAGAGTTCGGTTACTACTAATGATATAGTGAACCATAAATCATAATTTATAATTAAAATTATAATTTTATCTTATTGAAATATATCAGTTACCTTTAAAACCCAAGATGTTGGCCTAGATGGATATCTGTATGATACTTGTCTGAATTCAATAGGAAGATTGTTTATAGACTGGTCAGGACATAAACCTTCATCTACAGGAATTTTAGAATCTCTATCGAGAATTTTAAAAATTCGATTAGCTGCCAATGAAGCATGCTTCATTTCTGGTCCCACATGTGATGTTCTACCAAGTGCTTGTGCTGCAAAACTGATAGCAGCAAAAACCCTAATGTAAAAAAGAAAAAGTATATATAAGAACATCCACAAATATTTAAACATATGGTTTCAAGTAGATGAAGTTTTATGAATTATTTATTGTAAAGTATTTCTTGAACATATATACTATTTATTCTTTTAGGAATTTAATAATGCTTATATTAATGGTCGTTCGTCTTGAATTCACCAAATAATTTGAAGGTTAGAAGTGACTTAACGTATGGGATCCGGCATAAATGCGTAGCAGTTCAAGTTGTTGTATGTATTATCATCAGAAAAGCATACAAAAATAATATCGACAGTAATGGGAAAATAAACAGGGAAAATACCTCACAAAGATTGAATGGAATTACAGGATTGTAAGTATGAAAATAATCCTAATACATCATCAGAAATATAGCCAATCATTCTTTCCCTCCCTAAAGTTTATTGATTCAAAGTGTATTACTACTGGCACATTTTTGAAAATTCTTTCAACTCCCCAGATCATAACAGTATGTTATTTTTCCACGATTGGACGAACGAGTAACAAATAGAGGCGAAATGAAAACTAAAGAAATTATATTAAAACTATAGTCAATCGAATGAAAAATATTCTTTTTTCTCTTGTTTCCTAACAAAACAAGAAAAGACCGAGAGAAAATATGCAATCGAGATCAAGAGAGGATTTGTGTTAGACATCCATTGAAGACCTGGAGCTAATGGACAGCTCTTTCGTCCTGGTATTGGGTACCTCATCAGTGCGCATTCATTATCCTCAGATTTCGCCGTAAACGTTCAACTTTTAGATCAGTGAGCCGGTATTCAGTGACGTACATGCCAAACCTCAATCAATTCGCGAATTTGCTCAATAACCATCCATTATCTTTGGTTAGTAACTGTCCCATACCCGACACGGTAGAACTCTAATAATCACTTCTCACTAGAAATCCAGGAATTACTTCTTCAAATTAGTCACTAGTGAGTAAGTGATTTAAGCGGAGATAACATCATTACAGTGATCATGAAATTATTTATATATTTTAACACATAGATATTGGTACAAGGAGGCACCAAGTAGATATACGCCACATAAATCACCCGATTTGTGTGAGGGCTGCGATACTGCCCGGGTGCCCAAACCGAAGAAGGTGGTTTTCTTAGGGGGCCACTTCCCGAGCCTTCGACCTGAAGGTCTGATCCACAAGGCAGTGGGGCATCGTAAGGAGATGCAGTCCCATGGAAGCCGGTGACCAACAAATGGTTCATGCGCCATTTGTTCCCGCAGGATACTGGAGCCCATGTGCACCATTGGTTTGGAATCCGGTTAAAGCGCCGGACATTCGGTTTTGGTCCTCTCATTTTTGCAAACAACACCCTCGCCACGAGAAGGCAGTGAGTAGGACTTCCACAAAAGACAAAAGTTGTGTGATCAGGATTATATCATTTTAAATGTATAATCAATAGATTAAATAAATAAAAAACTGAAGTCGTGGCGCATTCAATTACTATGCACAAAAAACCAATCCACCACAAGTAAACTCGACTTTTCTAGAAATATAATCAATTTGTACAATCGATTTATCGTAGGTTACAGTGATTGAACTAACTTTTTGTTATAAAAATATCGAATGACATAATAATCATGATACAATATATCTATAATTCTTAATACTACTGTTACTCATTTACTAATTATACGCATATTTACTGATGGCTTTGAGTCGCACTATTAATGTGAAGGTTACTCAGATGTCCGAACTGGATAAAATAAAGCAGGGTTCGAACGTGTGACTAGTGATTAAAAGTCGAATGGTTTATTCACTAAACTATTTGGTCCAAAAATTTTAAAGAGATACTTCATTATAATAGAATATGCAGATAAAGATTGTTGTTGTCATTATGGACTAGTCAGTCAAAATTAACGTAGAACCTGGGACATCAGTTTAAGTTGCCACACCATATCACCACAAGGAGATGAAATTATCAAGATACACGGCAGAGTAGTAGAAATAGTAAGTATCAACAGTAGTAGAAACGGCTAGACATATACAATGTGATTTGAGAAATAATAAAATCGTGGAATTAAACAAATAACTATAAGCTAATTTTTAAATTCAAGGTCTAAAGAAAAACAAAGAACGAATGCAACTGGGCTATTGCAACAGATTCTACAGCATATCAGACAACGTCTCTAAAAATGGATCAGGATAATCGCACCTACTAACGAAGTTGAGTTCAATACTCAATAAGTTCATGGACTGTTGCATATGAAAATAGGTTAAAATAAAGTTTCGCAAGCTTTCAATTGAAGTTCAGTTTTCATTATTAATTCATAGTTATTTTGTTCTGATGTTATAAGCACACAAATAAAGGTAAAAAGAAGGAAATTCTAGTAAGTTTCTTTTATTTTGTAAAAAAAAACAATAATTTTACTGCATATTCAAATGAATAGCTTCCCAATTATATTACTATGATAAAAACAGTGTTAATTTTAAACTAATAAAGTTGTTAAATATGATTTTAGATTAGTCAGATCTTAGTAATCTCTGTTGTTGTTTAGAGAGTGATTAATTAATTAAAAGACTAATTTCCAACATCATACCCTAAGTTACAATAGTCAGATTGATAATCAAGGCTAGTTCAGATATTTGTCCAGCAATGAATCACATGTTAGTTTTCTCTTCAAACAATAATTTTGGTGAAATTTTTAAAAATTCATTATTTCACAATGACGTTTGTTGTTATCCAATTGGTTGCTGTCATTTTTAGTTTTCTAATTTTATTGTGTCCTAAGGTTATTGGGTCTTACCATATAAACTGAGTAGTTTCATTCCAATTTTTGACATCTGTTCGGAATATAATGCTATCTTCAAAGTCCTATCTTCTCTAATTCATTATAATGCGTGTAGTGTGGTTATGTCCCAGTTGTTATTCTATTCAGTCTGCCATAGAAACTATTTATATTAAGTTCAATCGTCAAGTAAATTGGCAAATACTGCAGGCTGATTTCAAACAGTCTACGACTCATAAATTCCTTCAACACTAAATATTGTCTCTAAAATAAGCAATTAACTAAGCTAATGATAAATATATTAATATAAAACCATACTTGAATATTCCAGTCAAATTAATTTCTTCTAAACTCATTAAATAGGCTCCATAAGAAAATGTAGCAGCATAAGAACAAATCGGCAATGACTGGGCTAAGGCATAGATAATGAATAAATTATAAAAGTACGATTGCCAGCACTGAAATGTAGATTAAAAAAGAGAGAAAATGAAAACGAATTAAATTTCTTTAAAAAATAACTCATTATTTCTGTAACGGCATAACAATAGTGTATAGAACTTAAACACAATTTCCATTATTAATTAAATATCAGATTGGATATTGAATTCAGGTTTTCTGAGAAGTAAGTCAGGTGAGACTAATTTATGGACGACCTTTGAGTGACGCTAAAGTGACCTTGAGAATGTCCATCTACTAACTAAGACTAAATGAGGGTTATAAACCAGTGTGAGGAATTAGAATTATGATTTACAGTTAGTGGTTAGGGTTTTCATCACGAACTGACATCAGCTAAAATGGCAAAACGCTATTTAGCCAAATGGACGGATGAATTTCGCACCAAAACTCAAGACCTGATATCTCAAATTTGATTAGTTCATCCACAAATCATAGTTTCGCCGTAAATCAAACTTTCAATAAGATCGAATCACTTAGCGCAATGATCGTATTACCTCCTACGGATTATACAACACGTACCGGGAATCTGGTATGATCAAGCCACTTGTTAACCGACGAATAGATCTTTTCTACTCAGTATCTCACATAGAAAACTGAGGTAGTTTAGATGGCAGTACATATAACGGATATGAAGTAAGTAATTATAAAATTCTTGACTAGCCAAAATATCCTAAGTATATCCAGTTAATTTTATTACACATCTAATAGGTGGAATTCATTAAACACATGTAATCTATCAATGGAGAAGTTAAGTGATAAGAACCGAAAATGATATTGTAGTGAAGAGACGGTTATATTCGTTCTTAATCTTCCTCTAAATTTTCAGTTGAGTGTAACTTCTATACTTTTATTTTTCTTTCATCCGATTTGTTGCTTTGCAAAATATATTTCCCATTGTTTAATTCATCATAATTAATACTGTCTCCTTTCATCTGGTTCTGATTTGATTAATTTCCTCTTTTGATCTACACAAATATGAGGGGTGATAAATTGAACCGAAGTACATTCACATCAGGTCCAACACTGTGTATGACTGAATAACTAGTATATTAATACAATTAACTTCGAGAATACAAACCGTATTGAGCAACTTGAAAGCTGAAAATAGCATCAGAGTCTTAAAAAGTTTTTAAATCCAACCGTTCACCAAGTACTTGGGTATGAGCCATAATTTAAATGTGCCAAAACTGAGGTATGTGGGGCGGAGATTCGAGCATAGGAGTTAGTGGCTGAGAACCAAACCCTTTAACCATTAAGCCACCACTTCATCAAGTTTTAAGTAAATCACGATAAAGTTTGGTGAAAATGACAAATTGTGATAAATTTTCATCGTAAATTGAAAAAAAAATCACTACTTTAATAAAATCACACATTAATAATTACATCATTTATACCAAAAAGCTTACGTCATTTCTAAATTTAATACAGTAGAATAATGTTTACAAAAATAATTCTCCAAACCATAAGCATATACAGTTCTTGCTGAACTAAGAGCTTCGTGAATAATACGAGCAGCCATAGTTTCATTATTAACATTAGAATTGACATGGATTTGTCGAAGCTGTTATGGATAACGAAGTGAAAAAAAATATTTCACAAACTTTTATTTACTGATAACATGTAGATGGAAATAATTAATTGTGTTGGAATACAATGTTCTATATTTATTTAGTTTGCTTTGTGTATAGTACTTGTTTAGTAGAATTAAAGTTCAACAACATTGGAATCAATTATCAACGATCACTGGTGAAATTCGCCGAAATGATTTATAAGGTGGCTGGAGGTAGTAGACTGGAAACCCTAGACATATCTTTTGTGCTAACTGGTACTCGTTAATCAAAGTGCACGTGTAATCTTGACAGAGCTGATGATACCTGGTGGATTCAATTCCTTGTCACCTAGCTTCACAGACAGAGACGTTATTGGGGCTGCAGTCGACCTCTTATAAGACTGAGACGTAATGTGGCCACACTGCAACTTGATCGATAGAATTCGATTAGCACTAGGGAGGACTTGATATGACAAGAGTAACTACACAGTGATCAATCAAGTCTACATATTGATATCTGTTAGGTCATTCGAGTAAATTTAGGTGGTTGAATGAGAAAATGTTACCCTTGTGAAATCAAATAACTTTATGTCTAGTGCTAGAAAAACATCACAAGTTGGTTGTACTCAAAAGACTGAGAAAATGATGAGACAAATTCGACTTATAAGGATTTTCATAATGACTTGCACATAAAGAAATATTAGCTCCAAAAGTGGGTTTTGATTTAGAACAAAATTTATCAACTTAGTTCACTTTAAAGCAATTAGTCCCCTTGAAAAATTTCGATAGTGTAATAAGAAGACGAAGAGAATCAGAACTATGTGGTATATTAACGCAATACATTTCGAACAATCTGATCACACATATACTTGTTAAGAACATTTATATAAAAAAAATAAAAGGTCAACTAGGCTAGAAATGGAGGGTAAAAGGAGAAAAGGATAATAAAGAAATAATGTGAAAACAATTTGAAACCTCATCACTCTGGATAGTAAGCTAATATTACAAGGGTAGGTTTATACACGTAGATATTGGCACAAGGAGGCACCAAATACATATGCGCTACACAAATCTCATTCGATATGTGTGAGGGCTGTGATACTGCCCGGGTGCCCAAACCGAAGCAGAGTAGGTTTAAGGTGAGAGCAAACTGTTTTTGAATGCACAGAGGAAGTTTGAATTTTCGTATGGCTAAGGCTTCAATAAGCCACACACACCACAAATACTTCATCTTCAGCCCCAATGGTAGTATAAGTAGCCTTCATAGAAACACTGATTCAAAGTTGAGTACATAAACCCGTATTTGGTCAGTAAGTAACACTAAATATTATTACGAATAAATAATAATGAGAATACAAACCTGTAGATAACTTGATAATATAGTGACCGGGGCGAAAACCAATACCACCAAAGTCAACTTCCAGTTATATACAAAGGCAATTGTCAATGAGAATATCACCAGTATGGCTGATTCGATTAGACGACCTAGTGAAGTACCGCAAAATGTATTCACTTTATTTGCATCCGATGTTAATATAAATGATAGAATACCAGGATTATTTTCTGGTTTGTCATGCCAAGCCATTTCCTTAAAGCAATATATATAAACAGAGAAATATTTGTAAGAAATAAGTATCGAGTCATTTAAAAAACATTTCTACAATAACTGATATTTGAAACATCGATAGTGATCGGAGTTAAATCATGAATGGCACATGTTAACCCTAGTATTTCATCGTTAATTTTTCATATGGGTAGGGGGAAGTTGATTTTTATTGTTGTATGACCATCTGAAAACCGTCGAGTTAACTGTCCTCAAAATAAACTTAATTTGAAAACAAATTGCATGATTCATGAAAATTTCATTGAATGAAATTGAAAATCAATCATATATATACAGTACAACAGAATTAGAAATTCTTTTCATTATACAATATTTAGATAACTATTTAAAATCAAAGAGTAACTAGACATTTGTTTTCTAATAGTTTACAGTTCATTAACAATGTAAACGTAACAACATAGAGATACATAATGTAACCTAGATCTTCCTTGGTATCATAGTGATTGTGATAATATTTAGATTAGTCATTCATACATATATCTGGATGAATTTAATTTGTTCAATCATATAACGTCCACATTGAATTGATGAATTGTGTTTGAACTAATTATCTAAACAAATGAATTCTTCTATTGTATATATCTTTTAAACTCTCGATGAAAGCACATTACGATTGTATGTATGTTAGAAGTTTGATAAATATTTACATTTTTCTCAGATAAAACAATAACGAAATACATTTAAATATACTTCATTTATCAGTATTATGGAAAGATATACAAATGATCTATGTTGAATAGGTTTTTAGATTTCATGTATCAGACATTTAAAAAGGGATGAATAAACTTGATTGATGAATAGTGTGTTTAACTAAGATTATAATTAAAGACGGATAAAGTGATTTGGGGGTACTACAGTCATATTCTAAATTATAGTTAGCTTTATTTTAATCATTGACTGCCCCCAAATAGCCTGGTATGACCGAGAGTGGGGAGAGTCAGCTCTCCCTATAGACTCTGCCAGGGAAGTCCTACTCACCGCCTTCTAGTGGCGGGGGTGTTGTTTACAAAATTGAGAGGACGATAAGTGAAACTCCAACGCTTTAACCGGGTTGGTGGACACGGAGGGTCCACCTAGGGGAGTTGGAAAACCCTCATTCCAAACCAATGGTGCATATGGGCTCCAGTATCCTGAGGTGACAAATGGCGTATGAACCAATTGTTGGTCACCGGATACCATGGGACTGCATCTCATTACGTTGCTCCACTGCCTTGTACATCAGACCTTTATGTCAAAGGCTCCGGGTGTGGCCCCTTAACAAAAACCACCTTCGGTTTGGGCACCCGGGCAGTATCGTAGCCCTCACACAAATCTGATGAGATGACAATCATTTCACGAAATACAATGCTTGCTACAATTAGAATTCAGGCATATCTTATTCACTTGATAACACTCATTTTTACTATTACTACTATTTTTTATACATTACGTTACTTATCTACCTCTATTCTCACATCATGTATCCCCATCTTTCAACTTATACAGCAGCTCGCCTATGGTGGAAAATCTGTCCTATCTAAACGTTCTCGAATCACTGCTCGGTCGAAAGTTGAATGCTTCCACCGAATACGAATACTGAAACAGTCTTTCTGAAACCACGTGCACCATTCAAACTGGCTGCCTTCAACGTTCGCACACTAATGCAGGTCGGACAACAGATAGGGCTGGCTATGTCTTTAGAAAGTCTTAATATCGAACGTTGCTGTCTAAGACCCGTATTCAAGACTCTGGTGAAGTACTACAAATTCGATCTCCATCTGTCGCTTCGAAAAGCTTGTTTTACGTGCGCTTATCCGGGGACCCTGTGGCATCTTCGTCTGGTCTTGCTGGCGTTGGTGTCGCACTAAGCGCTAGAGCTGAGGCAGCACTAGTCGATTGGATCCCCATTAACAGTCGGTTATGTGCTGTTAGATTAGAAAGTTCCATCAAAGTGAGAAGAAATCGGCGTGAGAAACGATGTCTTTTCGTCATCTCCGCCTATGCCCCGACAGATTGCAGCCCGGATGCAATCAAGGATGAGTTTTACCACCAGTTATCTGCTCTTCTCCAGAAAGTGCGTTCGACAGATATTGTAGTACTAGCCGGAGACTTGAATGCTCAGGTCGGGCGTCTAGGCACAGAAGAGAGTCGTTTAGGTGGCCGATGGGGACTCGTTGGTCGCAGGTCAGATAACGGGGACCGTCTACTGCAACTGTGCACAGACCACAACCTGTTTCTGGCTAGCACTAACTTTCGGCACAGTCATCGCCGATGTGCCACCTGGCGTCCTCCCTCTGCATCTCAAGCCTGGACTCAGATTGATCACATCGCGATCAGCTACCGCTGGCGTGGTTGTGTACAAGACTGCCGCTCCTTTTGGAGTACCTATCTGGACTCTGACCATGCCTTGGTCTGCGCCAATCTTACCTTACTTTTCAGTGGCCGACGAATTCATCATCCTAAATGGATTGATGTCAGTAAACTGATTGCAGCTTCTGTTGCAACTAAGTATCAAACCGAGCTAGCTACCACCCTACCGAAAGGTATAGATGAGCATTGGTTACAACTGCATGACGCCATGAAAATGGCGGGTACAGTCAGTTGTGGGTTTGCGAAACGTCCCGCTTATAAGCACTGGGTTTCCTCAGGCTCCTTACAACTCATTGAAGCCCGTCGGTCTACTCCGGGTGACCCTGAGTTTGACCACAAACGAAGGTTGTTACGTAGTGAAATTGGGCAAAGCTTGCGTAAGGACCGAGAAGCCTGGTGGTCGGAGCGTACTGCATCTGGTAACTACCGGAAGCTCTTCCAGCTCATCCGAGCCACTGGCAGCAAGAAGTCTGGTGTGAGTGAAACAATCTGCGAGGATGATGGGATGCCAATCACTAACATCCATCGACGTCTTGGACGATGGGCAGAATTTTTCGAAGGGCAGTTCAACTGGCCTGCTGCTCCGGCAACATCGGTCAGACTGTCCTGCCCTCCATGGCCGGTGACGACTGATCCACCAAATGAGGAGGAAGTCCGCAAGGAACTCCAACTCTTGAAGCGTTACAAATCACCTGGCCCAGATGACTTACCTCCGGCTCTTTTTAAAGATGGTGGTGACTTTTTGACTAAGGAACTGACGACGTTGTTTACAAAGGTTTGGGAACTAGAGAGTGTACCAACGTCATGGAATGAGTCGATAGTTGTCCCTATCTTTAAAAAGGGTTCACGTCGTTTCTGTAACAACTATCGGGAGATAAGTCTACTTCCGATTGCGTCCAAGCTATTGGCTTCCGTCATACTTCGTAGGTTGTTCAAAACCCGAGAAAGATTGACTCTCGAGGAGAAGGCTGGTTTTCGTTCTGGTCGAGGATGTATTGATCATATCTTCAACCTCCGCCAAATGTTAGAACACCGTCATACTTATCGAAGGTCAACAATCGTAGTGTTTCTGGATATCAGGGTTGCCTTCGATTCATTGGGCAGGACTGTTATCTGGGATTGTCTATTGAAGAAGGGTGTGCCTGAGAAGTTTATTAACATCCTAAAAGCCCTATATACAAACACCTCAGGCAGAGTGAGGGCATACAACCACCTCTCTCCATTGTTCCATTCGAGCAGGGGGGTTAGGCAGGGTTGCCCAATCTCACCATTCCTCTTCAACTTTGCCATCGATGACATTCTGGAAACAGCTCTGATGGATGTAAGTAATGGTGGTGTGGATCTGTTGCCTGGAGAAAGACTTCTCGACCTTGAGTATGCGGATGATATTGTCTTACTGTGCAGTGGTGCCCAAGCCATGCAATCCGCACTTAATCAGTTGGCAATCAGTGTCTGTAGGTACGGTATGTGCTTTGCACCTTCGAAGTTTATTTATTTATTTATTTGAGCACATAAATATTGGTACAAGGGGTACCAAATACATATGTACATCTACAAGACCGGCAGGATTCTAATCCTGTACTCACCCTGGATGGTGAGCAGATAGAAGTAGTCGAGAAGTTCGTGTATCTAGGTAGCTGCATAAGTGCTGGTGGTGGTGTGAGTGATGAGATCAATGCACGTATAGTGAAATCTAGAGTAGCTTATTGCCAATCTGGGCCACCTTTGGCGCCTTCGTGATGTTAGTCTGGATGTAAAAGGTCGGATCTACAGCGCATCGGTGAGAGAAGTTTTGCTCTATGCCTGTGAAATCTGAACTCTCCGAGTTGAGGATGTTAGACAACTCTCAGTGTTTGATCACCGCTGTCTCCGAAGAATTGCTGGCATCCAGTGGCAACACCATGTTAGTAATGCAGAGGTTCGGCATCGTGTGTTCGGGCAAAGGGACGATAATCCAATTGGTGTCACCATCTTGAAACATCAACTTCGGTGGATTGGACATGTTCTACGAGTGTCGTCCCAGAGAGTTCCTCGTCGTGCATTGTTTGCCGACTCTGGGACTGGTTGGAAAAAGCGGAGAGGTGGTTAGTTTATGATATGGAGTCGTGGTATGAAAGAAAGCTGCACAGGACTGGCTTCTGTTGGTCCTTCACGACTCCCTGGTTGCCGTGCTGGAGATGGTGCGACACAGTGGCTAGAGACGTTATCAGATATGGCTCGGAATAGAAGCCAGTGGCGATCCTTCTGTAACCTTCCTTTACTTTCTTCATAAAAAGTGGCCGTAACTTCTTTAACTGAAAGAGTTCTTTCTGGTTGTATCTTTCTATTTCCCCCATTATTGTTATTATTTCACTACCACACACACTAATTTGTGGTCGTTATTGTTCTTTTTTTCTTTTTATACGCACCTTACATTCTTTATTTCTTAACATTCTCATTATTATTGTGTGGCGCAAATGTATCTGATGCGCCCTTGTACCAATATTTATGTGTTCAAATAAATAAATAAATAATCATTGACTATTCAGTGTGAGGCATGTCTATGAATCTAGAATTTTAAAAAAAACGTTCTTTTTAATGGGATATTTATAAGATTTTGCAAATAAAAATGGGAAAATTTAATAAAAATTCCGGACTGAAATGAAATTTGCCTGAACAGTTAAATGATATAGACATTTAGATTTTTTCATGAATTCACTATAGTTAGCAAGATCAATTTACAAACGGTTTATTTGAAATAAACATTAACTCACCTGTTTCAACATGGATGCAAATAAATTTTGACGTAAACGTTTAGTTAGTTTTTGGCTAGCAACACCGAGAAAATAACCCTTGAGAATAGAAAGAGGAGTAAAATTGTAAATAGACAGTAATAAATTATAATTCGTGAATTAAAACATATTAATTAAATTTTACACTGAAAATTTCCACTAAACAACATAACTCAAATCCAAAATATTTATACTGACAACTGAAGCAGAAATTGGGAAAAGACACTGGAAGTAGGATAGGATATATACATTATGGAAATCATCAAGTTGCATTACGAGGCAAGCCCTAACTCGGAATCCGGAAGGGAAAAAGAGGCAAACAAAGAATATATTGCGCCGGGACATCAAAAGATTGAATAGCAATTGGAAACAACTGGGAAGAGGTTGGTTGGAGGACTCTGATCAGTGGCCTACGCTCCACAAGGGGTAACAGGCATAAGTAATTATGTGTATATTTTTTCTAATAATAGGTGCAGACCAACTGGTTAGAGACTGGAAGGAATGCTCAGAATCATTTGCAATAGTGCGAGTGAATTCATTCTTTGTCTTTCTTCAGAAGGTGGGTCCCAAAATCTCCATTTTTATACCTGATCTTTTCTACTAATCTGAAATTTGTTTTGTTAACTTCATCTCACTGTGCTAATTTGGTATGATAACCTGAATAGATCGATGCCAATGTGTCAGGTTCTACGTTGTGTATGTCTGACTGACACCCAAGTACGTAGACCTACGCTTTGTAAATGAATTATATTTACTTAAAAATATTGTAATTTTGAAAGAAAATATTGAATACATCTGTTTAACTTACCTGAAAAGTGGAACTGGCTAATCGAATCAAACCCAAAAGAGCTATTATACCTGTGACTAAATTAGCTCTAATTTGCATTTCATCAGGTTTTTGAACTAGACTAAAGATCTGTATTTTGAGGAAGATAAACAGTGATACTAAGGTTAGGATAAACATAGATTTAATAACCATTTAAGCACACAAGAAAACATGCATATGGTTAGTGAAGAGTTACATGTCGTAAATCATACAGTTATTGATAATGCAGACATCTGTTTACCGGGGTTTGTTTGTACACTCTTAAAGTTTCACTGGTAACTTGACGATGCTTTTTTTTCTAGTTAGTTAGATGCTTAAAAGCAATATAGATTTCATTCGAGCAATTTATTGAGTTAAAGAAATAATTAAGCGCAAACTTAATCATCATGGAGATAAACAATAAAATAATGATGATTCCTTTTCTAACTGAAATAAAAATAAAATAGAAAGAGCCATTTTTGTTGATCGCTGAAAAATTCCTATCATATTAAAGGAATTATATGAACGAAGAATATTCTTTTTAATAATTCCTCACAGGTTCTACAATTATGCATCCTGATTAATAATCCATAAGATTGGTCAGGTTTAAGACAGAGTACATCATTTAAAATTCTAACATGTGAATCAAGGATTGTTTGTTATACATAAAATAGAATAAGATTGTTAATGTTGGGGTGACTAAAATAAAGTGTTAACTTGAACAAACTTATACATTAAATGAAATTGTGAAGAGAAAAATGCTCCACACACTCAGGGAGTTGTTCTAATGCTGTTCAAAGTAGCACGAAATGCACTTGTAGGATGGGAATCTCACGGATCCAGAATCATCACAGCATCATTCAAAACAAAGAAGAAGGGGATCACAATGAATATTATCCAATGTTATGCACCCACCAATGATACCAACGACTACATTAAAGACCAATTCTACGAGCGGCTGCAGTCGATCATAGAGAAATGCCCAAGAAAGGACCTCACCATTCTAATGGGAGATCTAAATGCCAAAGTCGGAATAGACAACACCGGATATGAAGATATCATGGACGACATGGACTGGGAGAGAGAAACAAAAATTGGGAGAGATTTGCAAATCTGTATGCATTCAACAAATTGGTCATAGGCGGTACAATATTTCTACACAAACGTATACACAAAGCTACATGGATCTCACCGGACCACACCACAGTGAACCAAATAGATCATACTTGCAACAACAGCCAAACACGAGCAGAGAAAGTCCAAGCACAAGCCGAATACATAGAAGCAAACAGACAAGTGAACAAGAGCATTAGAGCCGACAAGAAGTACGTGGAAGAACTAGCAACGACGGCGGAAAAAGCTACAAGAGAAGGAAATATGAAACAGCTTTACGATACAACGAAGAAACTAGCGGCCTATGTTCCTTCACGAGGAGTAACAGGCGTAAGTAATGGGGTGAGAGAGAGAATAATGTAATTACAAATCAGAATTCACGTAATATGTACAATAATATGAATTGGGTTGGATGCTGAATAAATTTCTCAAAAAGGTTGGCATATGTTATAATAATGATAATAATAGCAATGATAACATTTATGGATAAGTTTAAAAAGTATAAATATGAACATCAATCAAATTATGTCACCATAGTATAAAATTGATTATTAACTAATTAGGCCCGAAGTTAGCCAGGATAAAAGAAGCGGATGAACATATTTCTTTTGGACGCAAAGCTCTGATTTTTTTTATCAGAATAGCCATTGCTTCAGCCGTCTACAGGATTCTCAGTCTGAGGGATTTAGGCAGAATGCTGTTAATACGATATATTATTGTAAAAGATTGCTCCATGTTGGCTGTAAGGCCAGTTTGAACTAAATGACCTAAAATGGAGCTGTTAACAGTTTTAACTACACTTTTGCTTAAGCACACTGGGAAGAGTTTGTAGACGCATATGACTCCAATTATTATTTAATTCTGTCTAATTTGGTTTGTTTTACTTGAACTCATCTCGTTGTATAACAAGTTCAAATAGTGTGATATTAAAAGTATAATATAAAATTTTGTTGGACATTAATATTACATCGATCCAGATAAGCAGAAAAACAACGAGAGTGAGTGAACTGATGGAATGTAGATTTGGATCACTAGTCAAATCATTGGAAGAATTTATATGTTCATAAGTTCAGTACAGTAATTAGATGAACAGACAAACACGGTTAGGAAACGTATATTTATTAAAATTCATAATTAATTATGAGAAATAAGTACAGAAATTTCAGTTTAACGACTGATTTTAATAAGACAACCACTGAAAAATAAGAAGCACTCAACATGTTTTTTTAGTATGGGACTACTCAGTGGAGCACATTCACGGACCAACAGATGATCGAACCTGAGACCCTCAGGTCTCACAACGAACGTTCAACCTTTAGGCCACTGAGAAGACATCCAATGGTACACGTGTCTGACTGCAGTCAGTTAGCGATATTGCGCGACCATCTTGAATTGCCTGTGATGGATACCACACGACATGACTACAATTCGTTGGCCGCCGTTTCTCATTAGAAACTCCGGGAATAAACTTCCGAAATTTTTTAGTTTCCATATGAATTTTACTGGTTTTTGGAAATTGTTGAATTTTCTAAGTTTACATCAATACACAATTATCAGGACGATAAAAACAACACATCTACTAGTTACATGGTTGTCTGGTTTTGCGTTTATTCAACCAAGGATAAACTGGAGTGGTTGCTACAAATTACATAGAATTCAACAAATAAACGTTTCTATTTTGATGAAGTACAAAGTGAGTGAAACAATCAAATGAATTATAACATAACCACCAGTGTAAATGCATAAACAACTGAGTATTTCAACCGTTCGCAGTTCTTTGTTTTTTGTTATGTATATTTATTGTAAAATATGTAGCTAATTGTGGACTATGACTTTCACAATGATGGATGACTTGATAAAGCGAATTCATAATCTCTTACGCATAACCTTAACATACAAACGACAGAACAGACCAAAAAATATTGATCTCCTCTTAGGCTTCAATACTAATCAGTCAGTCGTAAACAATCTGGAACATATGTGCATCGGTCGTCACACTACATTGGTACAGAGGTGTGAAATTATGAAGAAAATTACCAGAGTAGAAAAGTAGTAACATTATCTGTAGTAGTCGAAAAGATTATGGATAAACAGTATTATTCGAGACGAGTGTTATTCAAGCGAACCTCAACCTGGCAGTCTGCATCTACCGACGCTTAGTGACTTCATGGATTTCGCCCCCCTCACAACCTTTTCCAATATACTCTTACACCGAAAAACATCATGCGTCTAGGTAGACGGTGGTTGGTTATATACTATATATGTTCCAACCAACGCTTTCAAAATGTTTTGCTTATTTGACAATAATTATTTTCTAAATTAACTTCCTGATGGATGTTAGTTTTTAAAAAAGAACAAATTTTTTCAAATAAAAACTTGGGGAAGTATATAGTCAAGTGATTTTGTTAATTGAGAGCATAGATTGATTAAGAAGTATGATTTGGTGACCGAAATCTAGTGAAAATAAGGTTAGATAAGTTTATTATTTAATAAATACCACAAAATAACAATGCACTTTAATAAAACAGAATTGACCGGCATAAGTATTGTTTAACTAAAAATTAAGGATGTAATTGTAAAAAAGTAAGGATGTTCCAGAGTAAAACTCAGAATAATTTAACTAAATAGAATGTCATGTAATGTGTCCCGACTGTTGCTGCTACCTTGAAGTGGTGGTAGGGCTTGCATATCGTGCTAAACCAGTCAGGCTATACTGGCTGGAACAATTGTTCATCAAGGTCGCAGCGCGCCAGACAGGTCGGTTGAAGAACAGTAAGATCAGAAGCAGCAAACCCAAGTCGTACTGCTCCCTTAGGTGGACCCTCCGTGTCCATCAACCCGATTAAAGCGCCGAGCATTCGCTTCAGAGTCGGCTAGGGTCAGCGCCTTAATTGATGATAGGGAGTGAAGTAGTTGGCCATGTCGATTACCCCACTTATCTTGGGGAGCTTCATAAGTATTGATGACCTGATTTCTGACAAAATCTTGGCACATATTCAGAAAGATAGATAAGCTTTTGCCAACGTGTCTTTTGTGGCCAAGACGAGATATCCGTCTGCGAACGAAAGGACGAGTTTACTGTGCAGCAGTTTGAACCATTCTATTTTATGGGTGTGAAACATAGGTATTAGGAATTAAATGTTTGGCGGGATTAATGAATCTGTCTGTTTATTTATTTGTGTTTGAGCATCAGCATGATATAATGCACTTTAACTATATATGAATTATGGATTTCTTCTTATAGTTGACAAACTTAAAACAATTATTCATACGCTATCGTCGAATGATAAAACTCATCAAACTGTGAATAGAAAATGTAGACCTACAAAATAAAATCAAATTATTTTATTTTAAGACATCTAGCTCAGAGGACGAAACCCTGTCATGAGCACAGTATGAGGTGATTAGATTTAAGAAAACTTTATTTGTAGTTAGCTGAAGTTATATGTTATTTCTTGTAGTACTCATCATGTCGGTGAACGTTTGTAGATATTTCTTGGAGAAAAAAAGAATGATTCGACATGGAATCTAAATTGTTAAACGAACGGACTATTAATTATGATTTTCCGGTGAATAGTGGTAAGAAATTTTAAAATGATTGGTACGCACTATTTTTTTTCAGAGTGAAAGATCTACTGAAGGTTTTAACTACCACTGTTTTAGATGTCAATTGATTTAGATAGTGGTGTTTTATTCAGAACATTAAATAGACTTGGAACTTGTCAACTGCTGGCAAAATTTTAATTTGGAACGACTAGTGAGTTTTACAACGCTTGGTGATAACAATTAATTAAGCCGAGAATAAAAGTTTTCAATTTCGGTAGTATCAAATAATCTAAACAATGAACAAAAAAATACGTAAGCAACTTGTTTAGCACGTAATATAGATTTGTCACTAAAGTGAATTAGTAAAATCAGCTTGGTAGAGATAATTACTACTTTCAGCGATCTTGCGATTCAAATAGAGGTACACACTATTACCGTACGCCTGCTCAACCAGCTATGCATGTGGAAAGATCGGTAAATGACCAGAAAGCTGTAAAGTGGCGAAGCAAATCAATAGACACACAAAGCATTAGTATATATTCCTTTATCATTTTGACCCAGATAAGGAATTGTTAGCTGGGACCTTTACTAAACGCATAATCAGCTACCTCCAATATTGTGCTTTATTTATAGTCTCTCGCTTGCTGACTGGTCCTATCAGATGGCATGTGGGTATGGCACGTGATATTACTAGACCCGGCCAGCTTAATATTAATTCGTCTTGAATGAATATTAATCTCCAGATTTAGGAACCTTTTACAAGACGTTAGCCAAAAAAGTCATTCAAACATTAATATATGCATTATATTGTATCACACAGAGAAATCACCAAAGGCAGACAATGGTTTTTGATAGATCACAATGATAAAAACAATTGTAGGCGTATTTAGAGTTACGTGAACATTTTACGCTTTGATAAAAGATATTACCAAACATGTTACATGTTACTACGATACCACTTACAGTGTAAATTTCTGAATATAATATAGCAAATATAGGTTGTAATCCACCGGTTATAGATGCAGCTATACATCCTAACGTTACACTTTTCCATTCAGGTCTAGACAATTTCAACAAACGAAGCATAGATGACATCTAAAAATGTATATTATTTTAATTGAATCAATACATAGAGGTACAAGAAAACTTTAAAAGTAAGAAATGAATAAATCAGTGAGCAATGTATGTTTATATAATAAATATGGTATGAAATGAATGAATTTCTAGTGGAGCACCTAACTGAATAACATTGCGATCTCTCGAAAATCAAAAAATAGTAACAGAAGATTTCCTAATACTTCACTGAAATGTATGAGGTATGTAAATCATAAAAATCTGTCCAATAATATACAACCACATAAAAACGTCTGTAAATAATAAATATAGAGGTACATAATGCAAAAACGGAAGGAATCAGTTTTGCATGTCAATAATTTCAACTGCTATAATCTATATTAGAGATTAAGGTATGTGCTACTTAAATGCTTGTTAGTAATCTAGTCGAAATAAGTGAGGGAAAGTGGAGTTTCATAAGTCGAATAAAACTTCTTGGAGTAACCTTGGTAGGTAGACTTAGAAATTCATCGACAATAATAACGAAGCCAGAAAGATTTTTGGGCTATAAGCTCAACATTCTGCTGGCTGAACTACGGGTTCCAGCTGCTTGCTGAATCCTACATTGAGAAGAAATTTGAACTTCAATCATTATTTACTTATGGAAAAGAGCCTGGGAGAGAAGGTTATAGTAAATAGTCTAGCTATCAAATAATCGGTTCATTCACGTATATATCAGTGTTTCTAAACCCATTTAGTGTTTCTATTAGGTCCTTTAACATCCAGACGATAAAAAACTAAACCTGTTGGCAGTTTTACAATGATTAACGTGATGAAAATATACATCGATTAAGAATGCATATACTGAGTGGAACCGTTTTCGGCGATATTAACAATGATATATAGACTACTGTTTTGTTGAACGCTTCTCTTGTTTGGTCCATGACGCACCTTTTATAATCAAACTAGACATTGATATACACAAGTTTTGTAACAAGTATATTTCATGTCAATGAGTGCTTTGGTGAAGAGTTTAGTTGTTGAAAAATGAGACTAAATAATCATTATTTTTCAATGTATATCAAAGACAAAGGTTTAGATGCAACGAGAAAAGTAGGCATGCCTAGTGGAAATTACTTGACTTTATTTAAATTTAAACTACATTGATACTGCAAATTATATAAAATTTATGCTTGGTGAAGTAAAAATTAATCCGGTAAACATTAAACTTATGTTGTAACAAGTGATTAGCCCTGAGCCATACTTTTACTGTATGATAATATTGATAAGACTGTGGAGTGTAGACAGTATTAATTAAAGCGAGGTTCTAACCTATAATCCAATGACTGAAACGGAATATTGTAAAATAGAGTGAAGACTATTAACAACTTAACTGGAGATTGAATATCATGGTAGTTTCTTCAATTAGATTTAATTTATATTGCATACTACTATCAATACGATAACAAATGTTTTTAAATAACAAAGGCTGATTGTTTGGGATGAATACATTTGTTTTCAAAATACCCCATATTAACACTAACTAAATCTATGAATCCACAGTGGTCTAACATTGATTAGGTTCACGACCAGTGAAACTCAACAATCTCTACAACCCCAAAATGTAAATCCATTAATTCTTGTTAATGAGATTATAAAATCTAAAATAAAGTGTTTGTCGAGATTCTAATGAAATAACAGTAAAATATTAGATAAGACAGGTTTCGTACAATGAAATATTAACTGTCATTTGAGAGTAAGAAGGAAATTTTTTTTTTCATGATATCGATAGTGTTTTCATAACGTTCGTATAACTAGTATGTTAATAATAGAACAATTGCTCTATATAGTACAATCTAGACAATCGAATGACAGGATCAGCTTATATACATTGAAACTATAGATCATAGCAAGGTATCTGGAATTTTACAAAGTATTAAAAAAATGCATAAATGAAAATAAAATACAGATATCAGTTTACAAAATTATACGCATTCAGTTTTTAGTTGATAGCCGAATTTTTAAACATAAAAATTGATCAGGTCTCGAAAGTTGATTTGAAAATATAACAATCATGATCAGAAAGTCAGGTATAAAATTTCTTAAAATTTATGCACATATAGGAAACAATTTCAAATAGAAAAAGTTTTATGTGATACAAATTTAAACTTACCACAGTGATTCGTTTGTTAACTACATTTGAAGTAGACAGATTCAGAGTAACTTCATCCTGCATGGATAAGTTGAAATAGGAAAATATATCATACAAGATATATACAAGAATGAATGTTGATGATGAATAAGTTTAGAGTGATAACGAGATTATAAATAACGCAATAATTGAACAGTTAGTGTTTAATAGAATAGAGACTGACCACCTACACATCACGATGAGTATGAGACGAGCGTAATCATTTAGAATCTGGAAAGATGTAAGGGAACAAAATTCCAAATCTAACCTAACATTGCATGCGATAAAATAAGAATCAAAAATTGATTTTCCTTGTAACAAAACTTTATAAAGCTGTAAGAAAAGCCAATCTTAAGGCCCCAAACAACCATAAATTACGTATTACAAGTATATAGTGATTGATACGAGAGGAAAAAAGAAGCTTATGAATCATACAGTTTGGTTGGTCACGAAAATAATGAGAACTTGAAATATAAAGCTAAAAAATATTAGTATTACTAACACATTATTATGATTGTAAGCGGTAGTTTTACAATAGTATAAAGAGTCTACAACTATAGAGGGAAGAAGGAACAGAGACTGTGTTTATTATTGATCAAATGAACAATATATAACTTAATGTATTGATCTGGTATGTAAAAAACATCTATATAACTTATGCTTATTTGAGGGACACATGATAGTTAAAGTATACTTTACATAACCCGTTAATTAACCCTGAAAAACTGAATGATTTTACTTACAGATTATAACTTGTAGTATTTGTGAAAAACTACTAGGTAAATATACTTTTTATTATTTATGAATAAAATTCAATACTATTTCAAATTTTTACAATTAATTATATGAAACTTCAATTGTCATAGGGATTTCTTGATATAATTTTAACCAGTATTCTGAAGATTTATCAGTGAACAAGGGGCATAGTGTACAATAAATATGGGGGAGGGACAATGGTAATACGATTATATATATATATATATATATATATATATATATATATATATATATATATATATATATATATATATATATATATTATTCGACTTATTTATTTGGTGTATACCCGGTTACACAATTTTACAAAGAAAAAAATCGAATAAATAGTATGAATGATACAATGAATAAAAAAATCGTATATGAAATAAAAAATTAATCAGTTTACAATAAAATTAAATAATTCAATAGAAATATTTAAAAAACTATCATGATTTACTTTGTTAACCTGATAAACATTCATATTTTTATTGACGCAACTGTTGGTACTTCTTAGATTATTGTTTGTGTGACCGTCAAGAAGCAATTGATCATCGTTTGAGAATTTAGTATCATCAGCTTGTAAATCAGTCATATTGTCATTGATTGAAGCAGAAAAGTTATCAGGTGCCTATAATTTAATCAAAATTAGAGAATAATCAAATGATCTCATTTTTATTCTTAGTTTAGAACAATATTTTACCCTTTCAGTATATATAAATGCAGTCAAGAAAATATAGTTCTTACTGTCTCGAAATTTACTGAACTTTATTCGAGTAATTGGATCTCAGTCATAATACTAAGTTTTATCAACTGGATAAGAATAATCTAAATAAGATATAGTTTTTAGACACGAAACCTTTAATTAACAAAGTTTAAAGATGGTCATAGTGAGACAGATGCAGTTGTTCTTCTTATCTTCTTCAAGACTATGAGTTTTGTATTCTTCCATACTCTTTATTGTTGGATGTTGTAGTCACTTTCGAAGTATATTTATTGTGTTTAATTTCAACAGTTTTTTATACTATTTAGACGCCTTCACTACTCAACCTATTAATTTCCTTTTTTAATTGTACTGATATTAAGTACGGTCATTTGAACGGAAAATGATTTTTACCTGTCAGTAACCAGTCAGATTTTCAAAACAACTTGGTACAAATGTAAGTTGGTCAAAGTCACCACATTTTAAATAAGTACAGTGATCATAACTAATCTAGCGAGAGATATGTTTAAACTACTACACATGTGACTAAATAGTATATTATTATTAGAATAGGGGTTTGTGGAGATTGTAGTGATTACAATAATTGAATTCTAATGGTAATAATCATGTGCTCACTAGTGACTGGCTTCAACATGGATTTTCTGAAGTTCTAGTGAGAAGCCGTAACTAGTGAAGTCTAATCCGTGTCGGGTACAGACAGGTATCTACCTGAGACAATGGATGAATGGTTGCGCAAAATCATAGATCAGCTGAAGTTAGACATTAAAAAAGTTGAATCCCAACTCAGTGATCTAGAGGTCAAGACTGTAGTTCGATAATATTACGGATTATGCTTGAAATGGATACTTACATGCAAACTATATTCTATACTACCCACGAAGTGAAAACAATCTACTCATTGAACTGTACTGTATATAATACCTAGTATAAAATGATTGGTACAAGTAAAATTATGATAATGTGAAGATTGTAAAATTTGGGCATTTAAATCTGGTATCCTAAGTTCATTAAATTTACAAAAACAAATCGACCAACATTAATGAACAGCTGGGATCACTGAAAATAACAAACGGAAAGTTAATTTCTTTAACTAACCAATATATATGTGTTGTCAGAGAAAATTGAAAGCGTATAAGACTAGTTCAGTTGTTTTCGAAAATACCCTATTCAACTTGATATCAAACTAAAATACGCCACGGAACCATAAGGAAAGTGTTGTAAGTAAATATTTTGATGTAAGGGCATGACAATTAAAACGGATCATGTGATATTGCGCAACCAGCTTTTAATCCTATCGGTGCGTTGATGACTCAAATCAGGCAAGGTTGAACTCTATTGTTCACCTCTTGAAAGTAATCGCTGTTAAGCACATGATTGTTTCTAGCACTGGGGGTTTGTGGAGATCGTTGAGTTCAAGCTTGTTGGGTGTGAGTCATTTAACCACCAATGTCATTGAAAAATGGTTACACAATGTCACGAATTCATTACAATATGAACTATTGACCACTGGATACCAGCTCAGTCCTACAAAGCGTAGGCGCTCTCCAAGAGACCTGAAGATCCGGCGTACGAGCGTCGGTGAAGTTTTGGATGGTCACTAATGAAGAGACAAGTGCTAGAATGAGACAGCTTCTTAGTTTCCAAATTTTCGTTGGTTGCCTAATTGTGAGGACGGTCCACGGGTTAACTCAAGCAAGCTCAGAAGGAGCCGAATACATTCTATCCAATCAAGTTTTGGAAGAACATTCCAGAATCTCGGCGTGTAGCTACCCTATTAGACAAACACTAAAAACCACTGTATGAGGATTGGATGACTGTAATGATGATTTCGTCTTTACTAAAAACTATAAACATCTTAGAGTTTTGCACCATATTTGACACTGTTTTGAATAACATTCCTTCTCATATGTCTTCCATTTTCTCATTTGCGACTTGGAGGGTTCTAGAGTTCGAGTGCTCAAGTAGTACGTGGTATATCAAGAATCTAAGCTCTAGATATGACACTAATGAAGGTCAGTTCGTGAGATAAATAATAAAATTAGACAATATCTACAAACCCTTCATGGTAGAACACATTATACTGACAAAAAGAGGAAAAAGTGATTTCTAATAGCGCAATACACCAGTAAAACAGGAAACAATACACATTTTACAGTAAACGAAATTAAATATAATTTAGCATACCTCAAGTTTTAGCATTGCTGAATAAAATCCTGAGGTGGAGGATAATTGTGCGTGGGTACCTATCTCCCTAATACGACCATTATCTAAAACCACAATCTTATTTGCATTTCGAATAGTCGACAATCGATGAGCAATTATAATCACAGTCCGATTAATTTTTATATTTTCTAGAGCACGTTGAATCATTCTTTCTGAATGATTATCTAAAGCTGATGTAGCCTCATCGAAAATCAGAATTTTCGGTTTACGAATGAGAGCGCGAGCAATCGATATACGCTGTTTTTGACCAACAGACAATTCAGAGTTCGTACGAGATATCATTGTATTATAGCCCTAAAAAAATGAAAATTGAACATTATTCAAATAAGAGCATTATGTTTTTTAGAAGACTAACAGGTTGTCACCTATTATACATATTTGCTCATAATGTTATTAAAGCTGGTCGTAATACTATACTGAATATTATTATAGAAAAATAGCCTAGTGGTTTAAGTGTTCGAATCTCAACTACAAGGTCTCAAGCTCGAGTGCCGGTTCACCTATTTCGGTTTAGACAGCCAGGTAGTATTACTGGCCATTAGACATAAAGTCGAATACACAAACCTGTACTTGTAAAATGAGTGCCATCATCTCTGAACAATGTTGAATACAATATGTAGAGGCTGAATAGTAAACAAACGTTTGAGAATTCATCACTAGTGATAAAATAATAATAAAACTTAAGCGAATGAATGAATACACATATGATAAGAACTCCCTATTGCAAATAGCATTATCACGGAATAGTAATCATTAGTGCTTTATAAGGGATAAGGACATGAATGAATAGGCGATTTAAATGAAAACACTTGTTTTAGTTACAGAATATGAATGTATAAATGTAGCGATTATAATCGGGATAAACAGATGGAAATATAGGATGGACGAGTTATTAATAGTTGATATTAGGTGTTAATTTGTTTTTATATAAGGGAAAAACAAAAGTGCAAGTTGAAGATTGAAATTGTTTACAGACAGAAAGAAAGTGTAGCAATGGGTTTACTACTTTCTCCAATTGTAGCAATTTTATTCATGTGTTCCCTTGAAACCAGTGCAATCACATGATGTATAAATTCACCAAAAGTCTGGTTACGGTATGTAGATGACATTTTTATTATCATTAAACAGAATAGTTTAGAGGAACTGTTTGAAAAGAATGCGAGTCATTTCAACAAAGTTCAGACAACCAAATAGTCAGCCATATATAGGCAATTCGATTGTAACTCGGTTAGCAATCATATCTAGCCATTTATCATCTCAAAAACAAAAAAATATTGAGTGATCAATATTATATCGATGGTTTGTGATTAACTACAGAATAAATTAATTTTACTGTGATTGATAAAACCTTATTTTTTTATAATACACTAACTGTTTTAGTCATAAACTTTATCGGAATATTCTTACACACATTATTTTGAAAGCAATCTACTTAAATCGATAAGACGGTAGCGTTTGAAAAAATTGTTTGTTCAATGGCTCACTACTTATTCTTAAATTGGTAGTTTAGGTGGATGGAAAGTAAGATGGAATTTGTTTCAAACCAGTATTGATCAATCAGCAGATAATAGTTTGAATAATCTGGTCACATTTATACATGTCAATAAATACTCATATGAAATGAAACAAAGCATAATGAAGTCCTAGTGTATCAAGTCAAACAATTAAATTCGGGGTTAAATCACAATACAAATCAATAAGAAAATGTGTCGATAACCCTTGGTTTTGAAACCGATTAATTATTAAATTAAATGAATATAGTGATTTTCAAATTAGGGAGCGCTGAATATGGTGGTTTCAAAATAAAAAATTACAGAGTGTATCATAAACGCCATTTTAAATAATATGCATTGAAATAGCCATTGGTTATTTTCTTCACTGATGCAAGAAAATGGATCAAACCTATATGTAAAAGTGTGTACTTTATACAGAATTTTTTTCCATTTTATGACAATGAATGGATTTCAATAAAAAGTCATTGTTTTATATTATTATTCTAAATAGATTTTAAATTTACATACAATCGTGAAACCTTAATTTACATACTACAAGTTAGACTTCTACACCGTTGAGTACGAGGACAGTGGTCTAGGGGTTAAGCGTTAGCACGCGAGACCGGAGGCCTTGGGTTCGAGTCCTGGTTGCGAAATCGTGGATATGGGTTACTGAGGGGTGAGGATGAAACACTCATTCAGTACTTTCAAGTCTTCAATGGTTTTCTAACTTAGGTCGGTTCGTGATTTTAATGTAATACAAATATGTTAGGCTAAAAAAAGTTTCATAATTCTACCTCTGGCAATTTTGTAATGAATTCATGAGCATAAGCCAATTTCGCTGCTTCTATAATACTGTTTTTATCATCATCATCGTTAGCTAAAGTATCATTTAGACAGCCCATTCGAATGTTTTCCGATATTGTTCCTGTGAATAGAACTGGATCTTGTTGAACAATACCTATATTGGAACGAATCCAATTCACATTCAATGCACGCAAATCTGTATCATCAAAAAGTATCTTAAAATTTAAAATAAACAGATTAATTATTGATAAATGATCAAAAAATAATAACAAATTGACAGATTTTTAAGAAACAATATTTATACTGTTGAAAATAAATGTATTAACACAGTTTTTTTAGATAGTTTTTACTGGGGAACACATTCATTAGCCTTCAAGTTTTCATAATATTATATCCCTTGTTTTGAACTGATTTACTGTTACAATCAATCAACATTTTTGGATAAACATGCCAGTACTCTATTAATTATTTAATTACCTGAATTGTTAACTAACGAATTTTGCAGAAATTACTTACTTAAAAACATCCGACATCAGTGTTATTCTTAAGCCAAAAGATTAATACAGTTTTGATTGAGATCATGAATTGATCAATGTTAGACCACTATTGAAAACCTGGAAGCACTGGACTCCTCATCAGTACGCATCCACGATCCCATACGTGGGATTCAAACCCAGGACTTTCAGTCTCAAGCGCGAACGATTGACCTCTAGATCACTGAGTCGGAATCCAACGGTGCTAATGTCTAACTTCAACCAATTAACAGTGATAAAACTTTGATAGATTCATGATCTCAATCAAAATTCAACGATCTTCACAAACATTTACTGATAATTAATACACTTGTTCCAATTTAATCATCAACAAGAAAGATTAGTGTAAAAAACCCATTTATTATCTTAAAGCTACTGTTATGTCCACGGAAATGCTTAGCTGGCTTATGCTTTGTACCGGGACCGTGAATCCAACGACGACACGTAATGAGAAAAAAAGATTAGTGGTATGGATTTGACACAGGGAATAAATCGAAAATGACATATGAATACACCACTTTTTGTATGATTTATTTACAGTCAGGTTTGTTTAATTTGCACTGAATAGTATTTAACATCAATTACTGTGTGAACATATATTTACCATATCATATAACGAAATGACCAAGTTATATAACTACTCTTTCTCGGGATGTGACTAAAATGTCGCAAAAGACTGGAAAACACCAATTTCATATCATCCACATATCAATCAATCTGCTAGGTAAGGTTCTCATATATGGAACTTGATAACTGAAACTCGACAGCTCATGCAACTACTATTAAGTAGAGGGAAACTGACTATTTATCAAAGTTGGCTAGGCTCAGAACTAGAGAAAAGATCAGTCCAGATATATCTTAAATAGTTACATTCTAAATCAGTTTGAGTTCAATTAAATGTTCTGACTTAAGTGTCAGTCGGTGAACAATGGTATATTGGGTAAGGACAGTTGTTATAGGAATAATTTATTCATTTGCTGCAAATTTTATTACTATTCAATAGTATGTATGAGTTTAATTTAATTGTTTTTTTTTGGATAAACATAACTAGTTCTTACCCCTTCACTGAAAGTTAAATTGTAATTTTTCAAAATATAGTCTCGAGTACATCCTGATTCGACAACTTTATTACGTAAACGAGGTAACATATACAGACCTAAAGAAATCCTACGAATAAATCCATGGTGTTGTGTAAAGGAAATGTTGCGAAATATCCCATTGGTACTTAATAAGTCAGAAAGATCAGAACTGGAAAGTGAAATGAGATAAATCTGAATAAACGAAGATTATAACGTATTTGGGTTTTCTTATGACAGATATATCAACAAAGTTTATAGTTGCTGACAGTTATAACACTAAGTAACGGTGATAGAGATCAACAAAACACTTTGTTCAGGGTGCTCCTGTGGAAGTTCTGTTTAATAACTTCAAATGCTGGTGTTTGCATTTTCAGGTAAACATCAACTTAGAAAGTAAACTATGATATTAAAATAATGAAATAAAACGAAGCTGTACGAAAACTTTTTATATAATACCTGACCATTATCTGGATCATAAAATCGTTCGATCAACTGTGTTATTGTAGTCTTTCCACATCCACTAGGACCAACAAAAGCAGTTGTTTCATTTGACTGTATAGTTAAACTAAAGTCATTGAATATCTTTAAAGATAGTTTTTAAGAAAAACGAAGACATTACATAGAAAATCTATGATAACATTTCGAATGCTTGAAAAACAAATTCACTCGTTAACAGCGCTAAAATAAAGTGTATTTGAGTAATAGCTTGGTAATTGAAGGGGATGAATTCCACCTATTCAATTGGTAGTTTGAACCTTACTTCATCTATCCACATTTTGGCGGACGTGTAGTACCGCTAGACCAAATACAAAGTGTGTAACTTTAAAAATGAGAACATGAAGGTGTAAATGGTACATGAATTACATTTGCAAGGAGCAAAAATGGAATTCATAATGATTTTTGGTCAACCAAAAGCCGGACGCCTTTGTTCTTTGCTAAACTATGGTAAATATATCTGATAACCATAACTCTCATAAAAAATCATAATTATCAAGAGTAATGCTTGTAAATTAAGGCAATACCGAGGCAATAAGCAAAGTATGCACATACGCCAATAAGAGACTGATCAATTACAGTCCTAAACATCAATCAGAAGATTCAGGTAAAACAATACCGAGTGAAGTATCAAGAGTAAGTTTTAGTGGAAATGAAAATTCTTGTTTAATAACAACAATATGCGTTCAAACTTCAACGAATAAAAACAAACTGAAAATGATCGCTTCATAAGTCAATGATGAGGCAAATGAATAGGAAAAAGTAATCAACAGTAAAAATTAGTGAATTATTTATTTATTTAAATGTTTTATGACCTTTAAACACATAAAATGCACTAGAATCACTATCAGATTACTGATCTGTTAATCTATCTTCCCAAACAAATATAATTAACTCGTAGATTATACTTTATATTGGGTTCATAAATATCATGTACACTAGAGAGCCACTGGAGCAGATTTCTGTTTCAGTGCTGAAAAATGTATTTTACTAGTCAGTCAGTCAGCTACAACGTAGGACCAGGCACATATATGCATCGGTCCAAGTTGCCATACCTCATTAACACAACAAGTGCTCAAAACACTGTCCCAGGTCTAGTGAAACCTCGCTCCAAACTACACATTGGAGCCTTCAACGGTCGGGGTATTTTACTAGGGCAACTATTTAAGAAAAAGATAAATAAGAATCACATTGAAGATAATGTCAATCCTGATTTGGTATCAGCTATAGAGCCAGGAATTCCTAGATAACTTTGTTGTCCTGCTAAGTCCCGACATGCGATCAGACTCAAAACCTTCGGGACTTACAGCTAGAGCAATAACGTTTAAGTAGCGTCAAAATCTAATGGTCATCATTTCTAACTTTAGGTGGTTTATGAATAGACACGATTATAAACCGATATTATCGGTAAGTATTGAACTAACTTAAAGCCTGTTTACATTCAACAGCTTTCTAGTTTTTAATGTTTTTCCAACTAATGTCAGTGACGAAAACCATTTTCGAATTCAATACAATCACCACAAACATACAAACTAATAAGATGAACTGAATAACATAATTCAAATTAATTAATATATCTTATTAAGTAAATAGAGTTGACGCAAACAATCTTCCTTCCGTTACGTGGCATCACGTTTTAAGCAGTGTAGGTACATAAATACAATCCAAACAGTGTGGATGACTAATATCTTAAATATTTCAAATGGAAGCTGCTAGGTACTGTACATGTAACAATGAAAGTTTTTAACTATATAAAAACATCAAAAGTCCGAAAAACACCAGCTATTAGACTTTGTTTAAATGGTCAAAACATCAAGATTTTGATGGATTATAACAATGATCTAGTTTTAAAATAATTAAACACCGAATGTCTAAACGACTTAATGAAATGGTTTACGAATAATCTGTCTTAAAAAATCTTGAGCAAATATATCAAGAATATCTAGTAAACAGAGTAGACAAGTTATATCAAGTTAAACTATACAGTCAAACTGTAGGTCTACACCAAACAGACATTAATTTCGTTTGTAATGGTTTGTATTATCGTGTTGACATTTTAACTGAAATTTGACTAGTCTTAGTTGGGATATGTGCATCCTATGCTGATAACCTCAGTATAGCCATTATGACACGAGTTTACATAGAATAGATTGAATGTGGCTAACAGTGGAATCCCAAATACGCATTTCATCTTATTTGGGACACCTTAGTTGGGTGGATTCGTATCCAAAAGTTTATTTCCACTACAGGATGCACGTACATCCAGCTGAGTGCCGAGTAGAACAAAACATGTGTCCTGGTCACATTCCACTTATTCTACATAAAATAAAGGATAGTTCATATACAAACAATAAAGAAAAGAACACTCACCACTTTTTCGTGACGTGACGGATATGAAAATGAAACTTTGTTAAATGTTATTTTACCACTAAAATCATCAAGTTGTTTATTCGAAGATGTCTTGTCAACTAAAGGTTTCTGTAAACAGTGAATATATATTGATAAAACCCAAGTTATAAACCGGAAGAAAACATTTACTATTGATTTATTTTAAAGCGTAAATTAAATAGACATAATCAGTAATTAATTTTTGAAATATGAAACTGTCTTTCTTGATAGTAAGCTTAAAATGATGAAACAAACTAAACCGTAGTTGTTTAGGTCGATGGATTTACAGGTGATATTCATGACGCATTAATGTCAGCTGTGGTAATATCGAAAACCAGAGGCCACTGACCAGTCGGTTAGTTATAAGTAACATAGAACCTGATAGAATAGTTCATTAACTTCAGTTATCCCACTACATCACTATAGCAAGATGAAGTTGTCAAGACAAATCTCAGAGTAAGATGGACAATATTGGTAGAAACCGAAAATGATAGGACAGGACAACATGAACGAATGCATGCGCAGAATAAGTGTATATGACTACTGGACGACTGTTTCATCCTAACACGGGATTTCTCACTAATGTGTACCCACGATCCCTCCAAGAATGAAGTCGATAGTATTTAGGTATTAAGGTGGGGATTTAACCATTAGACAACTGAGTCGGCATCTAATTTTACATATTTCTGACCCCAATCAATTTGTGATAAAGGGTGACGACTGAAAATTCCGCATAATTCATGGAGTAATCATTCGATAGATCATTTAACGAACTACCATACCTGTTAAGTTGCTAGAAATAAGAGTGTACAGCTTCAGTAGATACCCTTGATAAGAGAATTTTCTTTGTTGAACTGCTTTTGATCCTTCTAAATAAACATGTAAGGCATGTTACTGATTATTCAGTGATTGCAAGCTCAATAATAACCGATTTTATTTGGATGGTTTTTAATGTACGCGGATATTCTTTACGATGTTATAAAAGCCAAACGAAGACATCTTTAGTTTCTCAGGATCTTACAGCCAAAAAAATCTGGAATGAGATTATTCAAAAATCAAGTAAACATTCAATTTAATTTCTTTTCAAGGAGTCTAGTTTCAACCATAGATTAGATGACGAATAGTATGTAAACAATTCGGTTGGTCCCAAGCAGAAAAATCATTTTCAAGATTTTATAATGAGTAAATAAAAAAAATTGTACATATCTTACAGTCATTGGAAGTATTCCAATAAACAATCAGTAATATCTGATTACACCACTATCTGTGAACTAATAGTGAAAGTAGAAAGTCAACTGAATAGTTTCGAATAGAGCTTACAACGGCCTAAAATCGACATTTCTAAGCGAGAGCTGGATGTAATTATCTGTTTGTTTAAAGTGAAAATAGTTTAGGAGAAGTATGAATCTATGTGATTTAATGGCTAACAAAACAAGTAATTTAGTCAATAAATAATCTGTTATACAACTTAAATGTCTAATGATGGATAACTGAAACCTGAAAATAAATTGCATTATTTTACGTCAGATCAATACATTTTAACAATTTAGTTATCAGGGGCAATCAGTTTTAAGATAATGATGATAAGAATTAGAAAAAACTTGACAAATTATCAGAAAATTCAGGGATAATAGAGAGTTGAACAATAAGTTTAACTAAGATTTTAAAAATCTTGTCGTTTCGACTTTCATAAGTCATTTAATGGTAATTGTGGTAATAGTACTTATTTATTTATTATTATGCACTTACACGTTTAATAATATCAAATATATCTCGCGCCGATGCTTTAGCCACATGAAAGTATCGAAAATTTGGTAAGGCACTGCCTAGAAACAAACTTCCAATTATGATATTAAGAAAAACCTAAAATGTAAAATTAGGGATAGTATTAAGCGTTTATATCTTTCTTTGGAGAATACAACAGATGTAATAACAGGAAACAAATGTTGCAATGTATCGACTAATTATTTAAATAAATCATGTTAAATTAGAAATGTATAAACTGAAGACAAATAAACTATCATAAAGAAAAGTATCTCAGTATAATATCCGAGACGGATATTTTGAAACTACGTGTGATATAACCTTTTTAACAGGGCTATTGGGAAGCTCGTTGATAAAGTAAGTGATCGGGTTAAGAATTTAGTCTCAGAGGATAGTTGTTTAGGTGGCTGGTGGGGACTCGTTATTTGTAGATCGGATAATCCGAACCGTCTTCAGGGCTTCGTATAACTTCAAGCTTATTTCTTACGAGTATTAGCTTTAGGCACAGTCCTCAGCAATAAGCTACTTGTTGTCCTAGACTCGAACTGGACATATTCTAATCAGATAGTAATGGCTCATATATGTAAAAAACTACTGTTGTTTTGAAGCACCAATCTAAATTCTAACCATGATCCAGTATGCCCTAAACTCACCTTGGATTTGGTTGTCAACCAACTCATCGGCCTCGGAAAACTGATCTAAGTAAATTGACTACGGCTGTCACGGCAACCAAACATCGGACTGACTAGTTGTCAGGTTACCGGAAAGTGCATATAAGCACTGATTTTATGTACAGGATGCCATGAGAATAGTGAGTGAAGCCTCTTGCAGCTTCACAAAACATCTCATCTACTGATATAGGGTTTATTTAGGCTTCTTATAGCTTTTTTGCAGTTGTCCACCAATTTCAGAGGATTGTAAATCGATGGGTGTAAAATTTTACGAAGCTAACACGTTGGGGGCAGATGCATTGGTACATGTAAGAAGTTGTTATATCAAATATCAAGAAGCCCGATGCCAGTGAAATTAATGGTATGCCTACAAGCGATATTCAAAGGCATCACCCACAGTAAGTGAAAGAATCTGATAACCCGTCTAGCTGGTCTATAACTTCACCGACCCCATCAGACCGTGTTTTACTTCTTGTTCGGTGACTAGTGATTCAATCAACGAAATGGAAGGAGCTCCAATAGATAAGCTTTTGTCAGAACTCCGGATACACTATTCACGCTCTGATCTTCCACCAAATGCTGGAATACTGCCACACGCATTGAAGGCTAATAATCATTGTGTTTATTGATATCAAGTTTGCTTTTAAATCAAACAGCACTGTGCTCTAGGATTATTTGTTAAGGAAGTGTGAGATCTTGTGACTATCGATAGTAAATTAGGGTGAGATTTGAGTAGCAGTCACTACGTGATCATTACACGATCGTGTAGGTGGAGATGGCTGGACGTTTAAACTCATGATCAACTTATTAAGTTGGTTTAAAAACTGTTAATTCGTCAGTTTAATGATAAGAGTTAGATTGAAACGAATACAAAACATACATTCAGGGGAGAATGTAATAAGTCTAAAAAAATTAACCTAAATCCCTGACAGTGATGTTTCATGCATTTTTATACTATAGTACAGCAAATAAGCAATCTGTGATGGTTAATATAAAGAAATATGAATTAAATAAATAAATAATATATTTGTAATATCTCAATGAGTAGAAAAATTAGATTTTCTGACGTTTCGTGACTTAGTGTAGGTCACTTCTTCAGAGAATAAATAACCAAATTAAAATTAATCCAAGTTTAAATAGTACAACGGAACAATTGCAAGAATAATATTGGATCAATCAAAAACAGGTCTGAACAAGTTGATGTCATGTCATTTCTGTCAAGGTGATTCATAAGTGATATGTATGTAAATTTGTGTGTGCTGTTTAAGGATGAAAAATTGTGTGACATTTATGGTGAGAAAGGATAGAGTTTAATTTGTAAGATGATAGTGTGAATTGTGAATAAAATCAGACTGAATGGCTAGGATAGATAGTCCAAGTAGGATGTATGATAAGGCCTTCTTTTCTATTGAGAGAAGTAGGATTCAGCATTATATGGAACGCTTCAGCTACTCTCCTTTCTTTGTAATATGAATTAAATCGACAACATAATCTTTGATTATGCCGTATTTAAATAAATCATCTGAAAATTTGGTCTATTTCACAAGTACAACGTAGTCAATTAGTACTCAGCAGGAGCGTAAAGACTATTACAAAATTGTAAGACACTAAATAATTCCTGAACCAAAGTGATTTCAACTTACTAGTATCACAGATCCTGGATCATATTCACCTTGTCGAATTAACGTCACTCCATACCAAAATACTAATGCTGTAGAAGTGTATATTGACATTCCAACAAAGCCACCAGCTGAAAAAAATTATCCAGATTCTAAATTACAGTAGAATAATAAAATATGTAATAACTAGTTACAGAGTGAATATTATAAGTTGGTTTTTAGTAAGTGTCAACACATAGAGTATAACTAATAGGATAAGAACATGAGGACACAATTCCATTTGATAAAAAAATCATTCCACTTTGAACAAATACTTTCATAATAGTTGAGAGCTGAGTATGAAGACATTAAACAAGAAATTATATTTGTAAGTAATCTCGGAAATTATGATGGAAACTGACTTCAACGTCTCGAGTTTCTTTTAGGATAAAATTAAAACTATCGAATAAAATTCCACATCAAATGACTCATATCCGCACTGGAAATTTCATATTCAACATTTTAACATGATTAAATAATCATTTATTACATAGTTGTTTACGAACCCAAATGCCCTGGTGGGTAGAGTTCGCTCTCCCTCTCGAAACACTCCCATCAGTCAGTCAGTCAGTAACAACGTAGAACTTCGTACGTACGTACATCAGTTCGAGTTGCCATACCACATTAGCACAGAGATGCAGTGGTCGATTCAAATCCCGTAGTGGTAGAGGTAATAAGAGTATAAGCAGTAATCGGGAAAATTAGCGTTTGGAGATGTTATTCAAAGAGTATAATACAGTGAAATAAATTTGAGAGGAGAAAAAAGAGACAAGGAGGAATAAGGAGATCAGAATTTGGGAGAACACAAAGAGTGTATGCACCTGCGCCATTGCAAACGATTTTGAGCCATGTCATTCAGGGTCTCTAACCATCGGTTGCTATCATCTCGCGGTCCCCAACCAGGTAGTCTACACCTACCAGTCCACTTGTCAGTGACTTCATGGACTTGTGCCATGTTTTGGTCTGGCCGCCCCTAGCTTTCTTCCAACCTACTCCTATACCACTGAACATCGCACGTCGAGGCAGTCGGTCGTTGGGCATACGTAACACATGTCCCAGCCATCTCAACTGATGAAGTTTCACTACGTCATCAATTGATTTGCCATCCTTACCTAGTACCCGTTTCCTAACAACTGCATTACTTACTCGATGGTCCCAGGATATACGAGCAATGTTTCGAAGACACCTATGATCAAATACTAGTAACCTACGAATATCCTCTACTCTTACCGGCCATGTTTCACTGCCATAAAGTAGGACGGAACGAACTGCTGCGCAGTAAACCCGTCCTTTGGTTGATAGACGGATATCTCGCCTACGCCATAAATGACGCAAGTTGGCAAAAGCTAGTCGAGCCTTCTGTATCCGTGCTGAGATTTCGTCACACACCAGACCACAAGGGCTGATGAGACTTCCAAGATAAGTGAAGCGATCGACACGCTCAATTACTTCACTCCCTATCATTAGTTCGGGTGTCAATGCAACCCAATCCTGAAGCAACATTTTGCATTTCGAGGGGGAGAATCGCATCCCGAACATGCTTGCATTGTTGCTTAGAGTGGTCAGAAGACTCTGCATGTTGTCAGCGTCTTCGCCAAATAAAACTGTCATCAGCATATTCTAAGTCAACAAGTGAACCTCCCGGTAGAAGTTCAACCCCTGAAAATTTAAATGAAGAAAGTGTTATCTCTAAAAGTACGTCAATGACAAAGTTGAACAAGAATGGAGAGAGTGGACAGCCCTGACGAACACCACTTGAGGTAATCAATTCTGATGACAGTTCGCCATAAGCTTTCACTCTACCAGTTGTGTTCGAGTAGAGAGCCTTTATAAGGTTAATGTACTTCTTTGGTACTCCTTTCAGTGACAAACACTCCCATAGAACCTCACGATCAACAGAGTCGAATGCCGCCTTAAGGTCGAGAAATACTACCATTGTGGGGCGTCTGAATGTGTGTCTGTGTTCTAGAACCTGACGTAGTGTGAATATCTGATCTATACAACCACATCCAGGTCGAAAACCAGCTTGATTTTCTCTAGTCTGGTCTTCACGAGCTTTAGTTAGGCGTCGAAGTATTGTTGAAGCTAATATTTTAGATACTATATTAGTCAAACTGATTCCTCTGTGATTGCCACAAGAGGACTTTTGTCCTTTCTTATAGACTGGCACAATCAGTGATTGAGACCAGTCAGATGGGATTACGTCCAGTTCTCAAATTCTACCTAAGACCTCAGTTAATGAAACACTCCCATATGGACACACGTACATGGCCACTGCCAGGTAAGTCCTACTCTCACTGTCTTTTTGCGAGAGGATTTTGTCTAGGTGATTGAGAAAACGGAAAGCGAGTGGCCGGGACTTTAACCGGGTTGGCGGACACGGAGGACTCGTCTAGGAGAGCTGGAAAACCCTGACTCCCAACCAATGGTGCACATGGGCTTCAGGACCCCGAGGGGACGAATGGCGTATGAACCTAATGTTGGTCACCGGCGACCATAGGACTGCAACGACTGAAGTTGCTCCATTCTATTGTGGATTAGACCTCTACATCAAAGGCTAAGGGAGTGGCCCCCCCAAAGAAGACCACTTGCATCGGTTTGGGCACCCGGGAAGTATTCCAACCCACACACAAACTAAATGATGGCTACAACAAGAAAAACTGTTCACGCTTTAATTCTCATTCACGCATATCATACTCAAAACTTCTTGTAAATACCCGCCTTTATTTAACAATGTGTCACTAGTATATTCTTTTATTCCCATTTTGTATATTCTCTTATTCTTCAACTCCTACAGCAGCTCGCCTATGGTGGAAACCCTGTTCTGTCTAAATGATTTCAAGTCACTGACTGGTTGGAAGTTGAGTGCTACCACCGACTATGGATATTGAAACACTTTCTGAAGAACTGTCTGAGTCGTTTACAAATGTTTGGGGACTAGAAAGTATTCCGACATCGTAGAATGAGTTGATAGTTATCTTTAGAATGGGTTTGCGTCACCCACTCAACAACTATTGGGCGAGAAGTCTACTTCCGATCGCGTCCCAATTACTGGCTTCCATCACACTTCGCAGATTGTTCAAGACTCAGGAAAGATCGACTTGCGAGGAGCAAGTTCGTTTTCGTTCAGGTCGATGATGTATTGATCATATCTTCAACCTCTGCAAAATACTAAAACGTCATATTTATTGAAGGCCAACAATCGTAGTGTTTCTGGACATCAGGGTTGCCTTCGATTCGTTGGGCAGGACTGTTCTCTGGGATTGTCTATTGAAGAAGGGTGTGTCTGAGAAGTTTATTAACATCTTAAATACCCTACATACAAATACCTCAGGCAGAGTGCGGGCATATAACCATCTCTCTCTACTGTTCTACTCAAGCAGTGAGGTTAGACAGGGTTGTTCAATCTCATTACTCCTCTTCAACTTTGCCGTTGGTGACGTTCTGGAAGCAGTACCGGTGGGTGTAGGTAATGGTGATGTGAATCTGTTGCCTGAGAGACTTTTCGACCTTGGGTGTGAGGATGATATTGTCTTACTTTGCAAAGGCGCTCAAGCCATGCAATTAGCACTTAATCACCTGGTAATTAGTGTTCGTAGGTACGGTATGTGTTTTGCACCTTCCAAAACTGCAAAGCACTTCCACAAGACTGGTAGGACCCTGAACCTGCCTTGAACCTGGGTAGTGAGGAGATGGTGGTCGAGAAGCTCGCGTATATGGGTAGCTGCGTAAATGCTGGCGATGGTGTGAGTGATGAAAGCTAGAGCGGCTTATGCCAATCTGGGTCATCTTTGGCGCCTGCGCGATGCTAGTCTGGCTGTAAAGGGTCAGATCTATAACACGTTGGTGAGAGCAGTTTTGCTCTATTTCTCTGAAACCCGGCCACTCCGAATTGAAGATGTTAAACGACTCTGTGTTTGATCATCGCTGTTTCCGAAGGATTGCCGATATTTAGTGGAGGCACTGCGTCAGTAACTCAAGGAGACTGACTTGGCAACATGTGTTCGGGCACAGCGACGATCATTCAGTCAGTTACCATCTTAAAACACCGACCTCGGTGGCTTATACATGTAATACGAATGTCGTTCCAGCGAATTCTATATCGTGCATTATTTGCCGACGCTGGGACTGGTTGTAAAGATGAAGAGGTGGTCAGTGTATGACACATTGTCGTGGTATGGAAGAAATTGGTACAGGACTGGCACCTATCGATGCTTTAAGACTTCCTGGTTGGGGTCCTAGAGATACTGAAACACAGTGGCTTGGAGCGTTATCAGAAATGTCTCAGAGCAAAAGACAGTGGGGATCCTGGTGTAACCTTCTTTTACCCCACCTAAATGAAACGAACTTTTTAAACTGTAAAAATCCTTTCTGGTTATATTTTTCTCAACTGAATTGCTTCTTCTATTATTATTAATAGTGTTATTTTTATTATTATCCCATTAGGCTCTGAACACAATGAAGAGCGTAAACAAATCAGACCTAGGTTAACCAAAAGTCTAAGGAACGACCGTGAGCAGTGGTGGGCAATGAAAGCAAGAGATAGAAAAGGCGACGGCTGTAGGTAATATAAGACAGCTCTTCAGACTGATAAAAGAAACTGGAATTAATAAGTCAAGTGAAAGTGAAACTATCTCGGTTAAAGACGACAGTCTCATCTGCTCCCAGTCCAGACGTTTAGAACGATGAGCGGAACACTTCAAGGAGCAGTTCAGCTGGCCCAGACAGCGTGAATGGAACAGTGAAGTGGGTAGCTGACGTTCAAAAGGCTATAGCTAATCTGGAATGAGGAAGAGCAGTTGGTCCAGATGGATTAGCTCCAGAGTTCTTTAAGTATGGTGGTCAAGTTTTAGCTGTTAGGTTGACTAATATTTTAGCTAAAATCTGAGGGTTGGATGTAATCCTATCTAACTGGTCAGTCACAATCACCAACTGTCCCAAGAAAGGATCAAAATCATCCTGTAATAACCATAGAGGGATTAGTTTGACTAATGTAGCATCTAAAATACTAGCCTCAATAACTATCGAACGCCTAATAAAGACTCGTGAACTGCAAACACGAGAAAATCAGGCCGGCTTCAAACCTGATCGTGGCTGCATCGACCACATAATCATCATCCATCAGACTAAAACACAGGCAGGCTTATCGGAGTTCGACAATGATGGTTTTTCTTGACTTAAAAGCAGTATTTGACTCTGTAGGCCGAAGGGTTCTGTGGCACTGTCTGTTATTGAAAGGTGTACCTCACAAGTACATAAACCTTGTGAAGGCTCTTTACACGAACACTAGTCGAGTGAGAGCTCATGGCGAACTGTCATCTGTTTTTGCAACCTCAATTGGTGTCTGTCAGTGCTGTCCTTTTTCTCCATTTTTTTAGCTTCATCATAGACCTACTAATGGAAATAACGTTGTCGTCGACTGAATTTTCAGGAATTAATCTCCTATCAAGAGGTCCACTTATCGAATTAGAATACGCAGATGATATAGTCCTGTTTGGTGAAGACGTTGATAAAATGAAGTGTCTTTTGGTAGCACTGAGCAACAATCCCACAATGTTTGGGATGCGCTTTCCCTGTAAATGCGAGTCGTTGCTCCAGGACTGGCCCGAGTCGACACCTGAACTAAGGATAGGGAGTAAAGTAGTCGAACGCGTTGACAACTTCACTTGCCTTGGAAGTCTGATCAGCCCTAATGGGTTGGTGTCTGATGAAATCTCAGTACAGATGCAAAAAGCTCGTCTGGCCTTCGCTAACTTACGTCACCTATGGCGAAGGCGAGATATCCGTCTATCAATTAAAGGACGAGTATACGACGCGGCAGTCCGTTCTGTTTTAATTTACGGCAGTGAAACATGGCCATTAAGAGTTGAAGGTATTCGTAAGCTACTAGTATTTGACCACAGATACCTTAGAAATATTGCTCGCATCTGCTGGGATCACCGGGTAAGTAATAGTGAGGTTAGACGCAGGGTATTAGGGAATGATGGTAAATCAGTTGATGAGGTTGTGAATCTTCATCGACTGAAATGGTTGGACCACGTGTTACGCATACCTGAACACCGGTTATCACGACTCGCAATGCTGACTAGTGTTGGGGATGGTTGGAAGAAAGTTAGGTGTGGCCAACTCAAAACGCGGCATCAGTCATCGAAGTCACTACTTTCTAGTCTGAGCCATGTTGGTAGATACAGACTACTTGGTTGTGGTCCGCGTGACTATCGTAACTAATGGTTGGAGATTTTTGGTGACATGGCTTAGAATCGATCACAATGGCGTAGGTGTATACACTCTCTATCTTCCTTTAAACTATGAGATTAAAATCACTCTATATCTTTTTTTCTACGAACTAATTCTTTCTTCTTGTACCATATCCTTATATGGAATCTTTCTTTTATATATCACCACCATTGAATTAACTACTTCTATGAATTAGATGTTCATCTTGCTGCGCTAGTGAGGTATGGCAACTTGGACCGATGCATATATGGGTCTGGTCCTACGTTGTAGCTAACTGACTGACTGTCATTATTATTTCACTCTCATACACTAATCTCTGTTGATTGTTGTTCCTTTTTATGATATGCATTTTACATTCTCTATCTTTTCACAACCTCATTTTTATTTGATGGGGCACATATATTTTGGTTCCCTCTTGTACCAAGGTTTGTGTTCAAATAAAATTACAAAAGAAATTCTAAAAGGAATTTAGAAGAGTAGAGATTCAACATTGGATGGGGCTTGGTAGTTGAAATACGAGTGTTGTATCACTAAACTATGCCTCCAAGACTAAATATAAAATAACAAAAAAGAGGTATCTTTATTTAAATGCGTATTTTGGGGGTTGGTAACTAATACACTATCAAATGGTTAAATTCCCTGGTCACAAATGTTGAGTGTAAATTAGGAAACCCATCTAAAAACCATTTACTAACGAGCACGCGATTATTGTTTGATTAGTTTGTTAGAGGAGATTAATTCATTTTGATGAGTCTTTGTTGCAGGTTGACAACTATTCAGAAATCTTCGGTTTTTAGAAGTGGTCCAGTAAATGGAGGTCCTATATGAAAGCAACTATCATAGTGAAATAACATCTATCATACAAACAACCAATTAATATTAGTATGAGTGACAAATCGTAAGCCCTGATAAGTGAATTTACGAGCTTAGAACATTGAACTGTATAATGTGGTGGCCAAAGTGAATTCCTATTATTAATACCATTAATCGTTAGAAAGTATTTACTTGCTTGGTTAAGATTCAAATAACTTCCTCTAAATCACGTTTCTCATAATCACTCACTTATAGCCAAGAGACACATCATTAAATACTGAACTATCCTCCGGAGAGAAGCATTAGACTATATGGGTGAATAATTGTTTCTACATAAAATTGATGCAGAGGAAATATATGACCATCACTTTGTTTTTCCAATAATTTACTACTTATGCTGAGAAAATCCCCACATTAACAGTTTAATTAATGCTTTAAGAAAGGCTGTAACGAAACAAACGAAGCCAAGGCTGTGGAGCCATATGTATTTAAAGTTCAACTATGACAAACAAAATTACATTTGATTCTCTGAATCCATATATTCAGACATAGGTATGAGTTACTTCAAAATATCTATACCAATAACCACTTTATCTTATTTAACGAGACAGATTGTAAAATCAGATGTATTATAAAGAAATATGGCAAAAACCGGTCTTACCAAATCCAAGCCAACCTGCCTGTTTTACACCACAAGCGGCAGCCTTATCCAGATTACTGCTATAACGTAATACTTCTTTTCTCTCCCCGGAGAAACTAATTACTGTCCGGATAGCGCTCAAAACTTCCTCAGTAATTGTACTAGACTTGGAGTATGCATCCTGCTCCATGAGAGTGAAGCGTCTCACAGTAGTACCGAATAAAGAGAAACCAATAAGGACTAATGGCAATGATGAGCAAGCAACCAAACTAAGCTTCCAACCATACGCGAATGCGATAAAGAAGCCGATAAAGAAACTAGAAATATTTTGAATAAATTCACTTAATTTCTCCCCAATGCCAAGATGTATATTAGTTGTGTGTTCAGTTAATTTATCTATGAGGCTTCCGACGGCATGTTCATCCAACCAAGCTAGTCTTGACTCAATACTGCCTAAAAATAAACATTTGATGAAATTTAATACAAATAGAAACCACCTATTTTTCAAAACAAAAAACAGGAACAAATCAACTTAGTACGACCATTGTAAATGGTTACATTATCAGATATGACAATCGTACAAATCAATTGAATACCTGCCATATGAAAACCCTTGACTAGTGATGAGTAAAGCAATAATTGACAGACTATATAGTACTACAGTTAGGATTCTCTCCGGTTGTTGCTGAGAAAACTTAAGTTCTGAAATAATACAGAGAAGGAAGGATTTTATCTCGATATTTCCTCCATCAACGCCAATTCCATAAAGGTGGACAAATAAACTAAAAATAGTCATGGAAACTACATACTGTACTGCTCTCCCAAATGCCAGAGGAAAAACTCGGCTAGATAATAAAACCATTATAAGGAGATAATCTATAGAAGATTTCTGTTGATGATGGATTCCTTAAGATCACAGAAAATTCCGGAACGCTACTAAATATAGTAGCAGTATAGGTAATCATCCGATCAGAAATCCGACATATCACTTTCCACTTTCTCGATGTTTCTGGCAAAACGTCTATTGAATACTGACTGAAGAAGGTGCTTCTCAGCGTTCTCAGAGCCTATTTTCGAGGAGTTTTCTAGATCTCCCCAATATCTTTAAAATATGTGAGTCGACAGTTTCAGAACACCGTATCAACGCAGAAAAAGATTATGTAGGAGCAAGACCTGAACATTGTAGATTTAACTAAGAAACGAAATAAGATTAATGATTGGTTTACAGTGGCCCCTAGAAAACCAAGCAAAAAAGTAAACACCGCATATATATTGTCAAATCGGACTGTATAAATGAGGAGAGTTTGGGAAACAAAACATCAAAGTTCGTCAAAGCAGATCTCACAGAAAGGTCAGTATTTTTTTCTACGTTAAGGGCATCTTCCAAAAGGAACCAAAGGCTAGGTTTGACACACGACCTAAGATATATTAAGTCCTTAATAAACAACTTACTCCCGGAAACAGTAGCAGGAGTTAGTATCCATAAGCTTTACAGAATACAACAAAAAACGGACTGTAAAAGTACGCAGGCAAGCCGCCTTTAGAAGTGTATTTTGTTTCCGCTGAGGAAAGAAACCTAACACTGGGAAATTCAAGTAAACCGGCTGGTTGATCGCATTGAGACGGTCGGCAGAAGCAGAAGCACTGTCGGAACGGTGAAAAATGCTTAGACCTAAGGGTCTTTACATTGCAAAAGTCTGGAGCAAAATCATCGCCAAACCATTTGGGTGGTAAGGGAAAACATTTCACAGAATTAAAGGTACGGTATACAGATGCTTGAAGCCTACCAAACAAAGTGGTGGAGCTCAAAACGTGGTGAGAACAGAAAATCTTGATGTCATTATCGTCTCAGAAACATGGTTAACGTCAGAAGTGTATGATAGTGAAATTCAATTGCTTGGTTTCGCATTTGGTAGGGTTGACAGACTAAACGGCAGAAGGAGGCAGGGTTATTCTGTATATGAGACGCACCTTAACCATACGAGCTATCGAAACAGTGACACACGACTCACGGACATGTGAACTGACGCGCTGCTGGCTGAAATGCAAAGGGCAGGAAATTAAATTATTTGTAGTATACCGCAGTCCAGAATAGGTATTGGATGACACCTTTTAATGGACTTTCCGTAGATTGAGAAAACTTAAATACAAGGTCATCAAAAGAATAATCTGATTACAAATAGTTAAAAACCACAATCGCCCTAACTTTATTCCAGAACATTAGAGATTTCACCAGATATGACATACGAAGTTCCTTATCTGTCTTGGACTTAGTCTTCGCGCACGGTGACGATATCAGTCAAATAAAGTTCCTTTCATCTATGAGGGGTGATCATGCTGTCATTTTATTCACGTTCATGGTTGATGTAGTCTCCCAAGCAGATGTGCCGGCTCGTCCTAACATATCGAGGCGATCAATTCTGCAGCCTCTACTGAAAACTAGAAAATTGACTCCGATGTATCAGTAAGAGGGACATGAACTCGTTTCCGGCAGTTATATAATCAAGTAACTCAACCATATACACCCTGCACAGTCCTAAAGGAGAAATAACATAGTCATCCCTGGATAAAACGGAAGATAATACGTTTACTAAGGCAAAAGAAAAAAGTGTTGGGACGTCGCCGTCAACCTTGGCATAGCAAATACAATGGAACGCTACAGGTCAGTCCGAAACAAGTGTATAAGCACAATCCGAGCAGCTCAGAGAAAATATGAAGAGCAGTTCTCACGATCTATAAGTAGGCAGCCGAAGAGACTTTCCTCGGACAGTAATCTGAATTTGAAATTTACATAAATTTTGGAATACGTAGATTACTCTACACAAAAATAGTTGACTTTTAAATTGATAGATAGCTTGGTAAACTAAGGTAAGAAACACTTAGAATTCCTAAGTTGGGGCATTACAAAGCAACCTACAATGTAGAATATGAATGAGCGGGAACATAAAACGCAACTAGATTTAATATGAAGATCATACTTGGATTAGAAGTTGCCTGGTACGTTTTACAACACGTGAAGCATATATGTTTGTGAACCACACTTGACCAAATGATATCAGGAAGGCAGCAGCCGCTATAACTGCAAGCAAAACAGATGCGCGGTATATTTCTACGTATGAAACACCAACAGTGCTTATAATGTCATTGACAATCCAGCGGAAGACTAGTATGGATACAGGAAATGCAGCTCCGAAAACAACGGAAAGTAACAACCCAAGGAAAAGAAGGAAATTCTCGCTGGAAGTGGCGAATCCAAACTTTAGATGAGCATGGTTACTGATACATGACTTACCAAGTCCTTATATCTAATGTTAGAGCAAGAATGTAACCTGAAAACATTTGTCATGCCTACAGCAATTACCCTGTTTTCTGATGGTTTTGAAGAAGATCCAAGTGGCAATCATCGCACTCTGTATTCGGACTAGCAAACTCTTTATGGCGTTTGTGTGCCATGACGACGGCGGATCCTCAATCAACAGACAGCAAACCGAATATCGCCGACCAACAAGCGACCTTGACGACTCGCCGAAGTAACCTTCGAATATTGTAAACAAACGTTTTTACTGCAGATGTAACGTAAGAATTGGTTAAGGGTCCTTGTCTAGCGTCAAGGTACTTTTGATGCCGTTTAAGCATAAAAAACAACGTTAGAGAGGTTAGCAAAAAAGAGAGATGCGCAGAAGAAAAAGCGAGTTAACGACTAATAGTAACACAAATTTAGATTTTGTAGCCACAATCACACACCATTCCTTTTCCTTCTTATATGATTTTGTATACGCGATGACATACACACTCAATCAGCAATGTTAATTCGAAATGATTGAGAACGTACTTCTCTTCGCAATCATAATATTGATAATGGTTCTTTTGTACTTCATGGCACGCTGAGTCCGACTTCTGAATATAATACGTCCGGTTGTGTTCATTTAGCACTGGTTGGTTTATTTTTGCACTACTTCGGGAATTCCCATCTAGAACAATAACTCGAATACTTCTAGTCATAATAGATTTGTTGACTAACATCGTTAACAATCCTGAAAAAATACATTCTTTAAACGGATAAACAAACGAAGACTCGTAGTGGAATAAAGAAATGTGTCTTTGACAACATTAGTATTGACGGAACAATCTCCAGCAACAATGAGGATATGCTGAAACGCAGCACGCATATTGGATAAGACAACTTTAATAAAGCTCGGTCCTTTAACATCATTAAAGAGACTGAATTGTTCGGAACGTACAGTTTGCAACTCAGTGAAGAAACAGTCAGATGCTGTTAAGCTTAGACTGCATATTTACAAGCAAAGAATTTGTAATTGACGGGTTTCTAATCCTGGCTCTGATGGAAAAAAGCGATCCCACAGTCATAGCCTTCCATTATTTTTAGCAAGACTGAGTCACAGTATCACATTAACAATAGGCATTGTAATTTCAAACGTTTGATGTATCAGATTTACAGAAGAGTATACGGCAGGTGAATCGGGAAGTCGGCCCACAAGTCTTGAAGGTCCTCCGGGATTCTTAACTGCATACGACCTCCATGTTATGAACAAGTCTTCCCGACAAAAGGTCCCTAAGAACTACGAGAATAACACTTTTCGAAGGCTAAGACATTAAAGATGCTACTGGGCCGAATACGAACGATTCAGCGAAGACTGCACACACAAGCAGTTCAAGAAAGCAAGAAATCAATGCATGGAAACGACAGAAGATAGCCTTCAGCACCAGATCGAGCTAGTCAATAGGTTTGTAGTGGCATTGGACAATAGCCACACAATCCACAAAGCTGTGAACACGAGACTACTCAGAAAATAGATATTCAACATTTAACGCGGAGAAATACCTAACAATGGAGAAGGCGTGAAAGGAATTGAATGGACTGAAGTTGATCGACTGGCATGGCTCGGCCATGCAGGCGTGGTCTCTGCTGAATGTTACCTTATATCTTCTATTCATATTAAATATATTGTTCTTTCTCTAGCCTAACCTTGTTCTACATCATGTATTGGTAATTGATACGATACAGTGAGTTGGTGTAGTCGATGGTGTGACTTCCACGTAAGATCTTATGGATTAGGCAGTTATATCATGACAAATCTACAAATTTAGGATTAGGTCTATTATTAGAGCAGTACTAATATCATAGTAGACCATAGTTCTACATTGGTAAGCCCGACTAGAGAAACGCAACCTATTATTGTTAATCTTATTTCCATTCTAAATTTCTTGAGCTATTTTGTAACCCAATATTCTAAGAGTCCTGATTAATGCTCGCATGTATTATCGTAATGTTATATTGATTAGTTCTCATGACATACTAGCTCAATCGATAATAAAAACTGGTCGTCTATATAAACTAATTAGCTTTGATGGTTCGTTAACAAGCTTTAATAGCATTTACATGCTTCAGCGACATAGACTTGTTTAAGCATCAAGCTCTAGCAAATATGACCTGTAAATAACGCAAATATACATTGACTAACAATGCAGCAAGGACTAAATAGTTACCTGGATCTAATATTCAGTGTTCCTTATCTTATCACCTCATCCTGTTTTAAACTATGCACTATCCTGTAATATCTTTTCTTCCGACCACTGCCTGCCTAATTTCAAATTCTCGAGTTCCATTGCCAAACAACAAGGATGACACTTCTCTAAAAACATACGGTGAGTTTCAGCCATAAGTTTTCTGCAATCATAAGGTCATTTTAGATGGCTCGTTCAATGGTGACCGCACAATTATCTGGATTCATTCGGTTGTTCTGATCCGAGTGAGTGGCAAAAACGTCAACAGCATCAAGCACCCTGGAATTAATTGCCATACTGCATGTTTTACTCTGGATACTTTTGGATCATTACTACTCCTCACGAATGGCGTTATATATGTCGTCCACTGAATAATCTAATTTTCAAAAATAACCCAGGCGAGTTCAACTATTTTACTTAATGATTTTTTTTACTTAACATGTATATGTTTTCCGGTTCCTTTTGCTATATATTTGTAAGTGTCCCTAGGCTAAATGCAGTAACTTCTTATGGAATGTTTATAACGCATCATATTCCTGCCTGAAGTTTCACAAGGAGTCTAAACTTTAAAATTTTTTTCTGGTCATGTTCATTATTTTTAAATCGTCATATACGTCAACAACCTGCATGTTAACCTGGCCCATACATACGTTACACTATATCTCCATGTCTTCTAAATTTAGAAATCATCTGGATCGCCTTTAACATTTATCAATAAACCCATCATAGTCGTTGTTGCTAATCGTATTTGGGTTTATGGATTAGTTTATCATATTAGCAGCCTAAAATGCGAACATAGTTTAGATAATAAGATTAAAAATTTAGGTACTATCAACTGCACTAGTAAAATAACTAAATTCCCAGGTAGCTGTTGGCTAAACAAACGTTTAAAATCAAAACTCCGTAGCCTACTAGAATTAACACTAAACGAATATTTCTGAATTGAAATTTATAATTAAATTAGGCGTCTCGGATTCTTTAACGTTATAAATTTCTGATGATTTCGAATCACCTAAAGCAACAATACCTATTTTTCCACTGACTAATCCTTAATCAACACTATAACTAGTTAAACGTAATAGTTTCAGGATATCGTCATAAAGCATTGTCATAACTTGACAATCACGTAATATGATTGATAAAATTAATGAAACTATTAACAAAATCGGTCAGCAAATTGACTTATAATTACCATTAGTGTTGTTTTTTTTTATCTTCATCCATCACAGATGATTACAGTATGTTTCTCTATCAGTTGCTCATTCAGTAAATATCTCAAAACCTTGTCAGTCTAATTGATGGTTTAGCGACACAATCATGCATGCAAATAATCAGTATAAGCAGTCGAGCAAATCTCCTGCAAACTGAAAACATCAATGTCGAATTTACCCCAACACTGACTAAGGTTCAAGCCATTATCATAGACATGAGTTGGGAGTGTACTCCCCTGGTTACAACTTATGTTCTCCCTGATAATCACATGAGCATCACTCACTATTAATCATCTTGTAAAAACTTATTTAGCTAAATACATCTTGCAGCACCACATCACTTAGTAATATGACACATAAACTGATTTCAATAACTTATAACCACTATATCTCAATTAAATCGTATTCCGCCTTATGATAAACTGCATACTTGCAACTAACTTGTATGCCCAATCAGCCGGCAAGTATAAATATAAATAAATAGTCTATCGCGGATCAGAACATTGAGTCTAGAGCATGTCTCTTACGAATACACTCATGTTTAACGATTTGTTCCTAGCTATCTGTCCAAAATTCATATAATTATCACTCATGTATTTAAATTTTATTTTGATAACCATTCATGTGTATTAGTAGTATTACTAAATTCTATCACGGTCAAGTAAAAATGAGGTTGAGAAAATCTCCCCGTAACTAAATAAACCGTATCAAACTAACTGGAACACTAGTTGGAATTCTTCTCCACGGTATACTTTTGTTCCTTCAGTTAGCCTACTAATACAGATGCAATTGGAAATCAACTCATATGGACAACTTACCCGTATAATCGTTATTTGATTTCATAATTTAAACCAAAACTAATACCAATATTAACATTTCTACAATATTCATTACTTTAATATTTCTAAACACAAAATACTTACTACCTATACGTTAAGTTATTAACCAACGGCTATTAACACGCATCGTTTTATTATTATTATTGTAACCCCATTTTTATAGCTCAAATAATCTTCACCCAAATTTTCATTTCAAGCGTTTTAAGCATGAAGGCAGATATTTTAAAATTATTACATGTATTTCCCGACCAGATGCTGCCGCTTTCTTTTTGATTTATCTTTCAGCTTACCAATACCCGGAGGATTCTTATTATCCTTGGTAACCTCCGGCGCGCGACGATCCCATCCAATTTGGTATCGAACCAACATCACGTTGATTCTGGTGGGAGAGTAGTGTAGTGGCATTGGACAATAGCCACACAATCCACAAAGCTGTGAACACGAGACTACTCAGAAAATAGATATTCAATATTTAACGCGGAGAAATACCTAACAATGGAGAAGGCGCGGAGAATGAATTGAATGGACTGGAGTTGATCGAATGGCATGGCTCGGCCATGCAGGCGTGGTCTCTCTGAATGTTACCTTATATCTTCTATTCATATTAAATATATTGTTCTTTCTCTAGCCTAACCTTGTTCTACATCATGTATTGGTAATTGATACGATACAGTGAGTTGGTGTAGTCGATGGTGTGACTTCCACGTAAGATCTTATAGATTAGGCAGTTATATCATGACAAATCTACAAATTTAGGATTAGG